GGGAAGGTTTCTGCAATATCAAGTGATCACCTTGACAAGTGAGGATCGTTATGGTTTAATGTCAGTTTAGTAACCGTAATTGAACAGTTCTGGATACTGCAAACACAGGTCAACCCATGGTTTCCAATTCTGGTTGGGAGGCAAACCGTGTGGAGTAACAACAGTTTGCTCTTTTTGGATGCAAGACCACCCTTGGGTTCTTGTGAATGAGGAAGTGGGCAAGGGAATCAGATCACAGGAAGGGAGGAGGAAGAGAGAGTTCCTGAGCCTATAATCTATGCACATTCTTGGCTGATTCTAGCAGAGGATTATTTCCCTTCTTTCTTCCTTGTGCCAAAGTATGCTTCAGTCTCAGACCACCTTACAGTGGGCACCTATAGAAGTTCAGCTTCCCTTGTTGCTAGAGCTGCTGCATGTGTCCTTTGTAACTGTTAACTATGCAGTCCTTCCATCCACAAGTGCAAGTGCTGGAGTGGTTTATGCTGCACCTCCCTCTTCCACAGTGCTCTCTGGGGTGAAAGTTTCAATTAGGATAGAAATGGCACAGTGGTTTAAACCGCTGTGCTGCTGGGCTGGTTGATCGAAAGGTCGCCGGTTCGAATGTGCACAACGGGGTGAGTGCCCGTTGCTCCATCCCAGCTCCTGCCAACCTTGCAGTTCGAAAGCATACAAATGCGATTAGATAAAAAGGTACCACTTCGGTGAGCAGGTAACAGCGTTCCGTGCACTTTGGTGTTTAGTCATGCCGGCCACATGACCACGGAGACTGTCTGCGGACAGACGCTGACTCCCTTGGCTAGGAAACAGAGATAAGCACCGCCCCCTAGAGTCAGGCATGACTGGACTTAATATCGAGGGGAAACCTTTACATTTACCTGATTCCTCCTCCTCCCAGCACTTCTTGAAAGCTGGAAGAGAGCTGCAAGTTTCTCATGCAAAGTAGGTTAACCAGTTGTCATACAGAAGGGTAAAATTGTACCCTTTTTCTATAGACTATGCTGAAATCATGCTTTTGTTTTGTAACACATACAGGTAGATATAATAGCCTCCACTTTGTACCAGAAAATAACTCAGTCCCAAGAAGAAACCTTCGATTTCATAGACATATATTTAGTTTCTGTTTATACATGCCCCGCTTTAAAACAACATCCACAGACTGTGGTTCCTGACTCACTCTAGTTATCAATATGCATCTGTCTCCAAAAAAATGAAAATGTGACCCTGATGGTATGTGGATTCATGCTGGCTCTAATGCATGATGGTACATTAATTGCAAAAGCATACTCTTGGTATCCCTGAGCAGATGTTGAAGATATCCAATCCTGACCTCTTGCAAGGAAGATAAAAATGGAGGCCACTGGGAAAGACTGGGGTGTTCGTTTAGAGAGATTCCATGTCATTGTGCCAGTCAGCCTTAAAAATAGGTGACTGTGAATCTCTGAGACTATGGAGCAATATGAGGAAGGCCACAGCTGTGCTGCATTGTAGCTGGACGTTGCACTGGGCCACCCTCGACACACGTGCCATGGGTTGCTGGCATCACTTTGCGGGGAGGTGGGGATGTGTTTTTTTCACTGGTTTAATGAGAATAGAAAGCATCAAGATACCCTCACTGGACTCAGTCTAGCTTTGGTGAGGCACTCTGCTTATCGTAGAAATGAGCCGTCTGCTATAAAACACTGGCATGTGAACTGGGGAGTCTTCTTCCTGGAAGGATTTTCAACACTAATATAGCTGCTTTCCCCAAAGTAAGTACTTTTTAGATTGTGTTTGAAGTAGGTCTTCTGTTTCAGGGATTACACCGTTTGCTTCGGCTCCATTAAGATCCCTCTGTGCGATGACTGCTCCACTGCTGCACACACGGGAACACCTCTCACATGGATCCAGTGGATGACGTGTCTAACATTGCAGTTCTTGTCTACGGAACAATTGTTCCATTCTGCTCCCTGGCCTTATTCTGCCATGATTCCAGGCAGCTTGATCATGCCTAAATATGTATTAGATTCAGGTCTTAGTTCCTAAGACTCTCAACAAGTTGCTGCCGCTGCTACTGCTGCTGTTTGCTGTTGCTGTTAATAGAACTGGGACATGAAGTGAACATTCCTGTTGGTTCCTCACCCTCTTAACAGATAGGTTCATGGTCAGAGTTCCAGCTAGCCAGCTGTGCTCTAGGTAGTCTACTGCATTCCCACTCCAGGCCTCTGTGCCCCTTTTCCAGCTGTGGCTACTGAGCATGCTCAGTTTTGTCTTGCTTGCCTCATTTGCTTGCCTTTTTGGAAAGCTGCTTGGACCTTCTACTTCTGCATTGCTCGGGCATGCTGATACCTCCTGTTTTGCAGTGGCCCTGTTATAACTCTAGTTCTGTGAAGTAGCATTAGGCTCTGGGGCAGTCACTGGTCCAGAGAGCTTCATGAGAGAATGGTGACTTGAACTAAGATCTCCTTAACAGCCTACCTTTGCTGGAACTTACCAGTTAAGTTGGCTATGGTGTTGATGGTTGGTTGGTTCTAGAGCAAGAGTGGGCAACTTGTAGCTCTCCAGCGGTTCTAGCTTACAGCTTCCATCAGCCCTAGCCTGCATAGCCAGTGGAGAGGGATGATGGAAGTTGAAGGCCAAAGCATCTGGTTGTAGGCACACCTGGGCCCCATTAAAAGCAATGGGGCTTCAGTCACGACTGCCCTTTCACATGGATTAGCAAAGGCACCTCTGTGCAGTAATTTAATCCCTTTTGCCTGCAAATAAGACCTGATGAATGTAAAGGGACTTACTTCTAAGTAGAGATGCATTAGATTGCATTGTAGTCCTAGATCCAGCATGCTGTCATTCATTGGGAGGAATACCTGGTTTATTACATACAGTATGGAAGGACCAATTCATTTCCCCATAGCTAAATACCCCCCAAATGCAGCAGAACCTTGGAAGGCTTCGGTTCCAAAAATGGGGGCATTCCCGACTTGGCTCTGTGTAGCAGGCAGATGGTTGTGAGAGGAATACGTCTGTGTTTCCCGGTTCCTGCGCTCCTGTCCTGCTTGTGGGCAGCTGGCCGGCCACTGTGCGAACAGAATGCTGGACTGGATGGGCCGCTGGTCTGATCCAGCAGAGCTCTTCTTACGTTGTTAGTGGAGCAGCGCAGGGTCTCTCGCCCACCATCCCACTCGTTCTGAGCCATCCTCTTTGACTAAGAAACGCAGTTGGGACCAAGAATGCTGGAGATAACAAGTGTCTTCTCCAGTCGCACTTGACTCTAATGTATTAACACACAGCCATTCTCTTGATTTTTGCAGCTTCAAGTACCAATGCCAATTCCGTTTCCACCTCCTCAGCTGCTGTCAGTATTTCAGCATCAGCAGTAGCCAGCATCTCTCAACAGGTACATCTCTCCCCTGTAGAAATAAACCTGCATGAAACCTATTATACTCCATTAAAGAACCAAAATTTATTTTTCAGACTGCATTCTGTAATACTGTGCCATGTTTAGCTGGAAGCAAGTCCCCACTGTGCTCATTGAGCTTTATTCCCTAGTAAATTTGTTTAAGATGGCCAGCTAAAACTGAAAACTCTTAAATGGGGTGTGTTTTCTTGTTACATGAGAATTTAATGGATTCCAAATTTGAATGTCCAAATGCTATTGTTGTAGGCAGAGCAATCCAGACTAAGGTAATTGAATTTTGGTCCCACTGAAATCATGCAGGGCTACTTCTTTACACTGATTTAATGGGAGTGCAGCTTGATGAACCTAAGGGAAATTCAGATGACTCCCACACACGTGTTCAAGGAACATAGAACATAAGAAGAGCCAAACACAAGGCCTGTCTAGACCAGCAGTCTATTTGCACTAAAGCCAACCAGATGTCCTGATGGGAAGCCCACCATCAGAACATGCCTGCGATAGCACCCTGCTTTTGTCTCCCTCTGGTACTGAGTAGCATACTCCCTCTGATGCTGGAGGTAATTTGTAGGCATCATGACGAGTAGCTTCATCCTCCATCTGATTGTCTGATCCCCCTTTTAAGCCGTCTGTGAATGCGGGAAGGGGGTTGCAGGGCTACGTGGACTGTCTGTGCCCCTCTCTGCCACCAGTGTCTCTCGTGGCCATGAGCTCATGCAGATACTGCATCTGCCACACTCTCTGGGATGTCCTCTCACATGGAGGACTTTAACATGTGTACCTGTGTGGAGCCCTTCTTGTGCCTGAAGTAGGCATGGATAACAGGTGTGCTGATGGGAGGTGGCTAGGCAGCCCAGTCCTGTGACCCCTGTCCTTCATTCCTTGAATGTGTGGATCATTGTTTGAATCCCCTTCTCCCACAACTTTAATCAGGATCCAGCTCATTATTTTCATTCCATAGCGGGTTATGATCTTGTGGTTGCTTCCTGAGAGTTGGGGATCTAACTAAATCCCATTCCTCCCTTTGTGGCTTTTTCTTTGTGACCTTGGTCAAATTGCCTAATTTTTCCAAACCTAAGGATTTTAAAAAAATCATTGTTTATCTAAATGGCAAGCCTTTTTGGGGCCTTTATGAAGAAGGGCCTAGAGTAGAAAGCCGAGTTGTTTTTTGTAATTTAAGAGTCCCGAGCTAAATTCTATCTAAATGAAACCCATTTATTACTTTTAGATGTGACTATGTCTCCTCTACCCTACCTGGAATAAATTACATTTTGTTACTCCATTCAGATAGTTGTACCTTGACTGTACAGATGGATCCCAGGAAATGGTCTGAGAATAGCCACTCCGTGGAAGCCAAGCGCTGGATCTGGCCAGTGCCGGGGTGGACAAAGCCAGACAAACTCTTCTTCCTTTGGTCTGAGTCTCCACTGCAAAAGCCTCATTTGTGCTGAGGCAAGATAAAATAATAAACCAGAAGGGTCTGAAAGTTAATAATATTTTGATAACTTAGGCAGTCTGGTGATGGAACTCTTTACTGACCCCCACAATATTCTGGAGAAGTATCGTGATTTTGTTGTTGCTCGCCCTCTTCGACTCTTTACTGTTTAACAGGAGTATCCTACGTACACAATCCTCGGCCAAAGTCAGTACCAGCCATATTACCCAAGTTCAGGCTTTGGAGTTATAGCACCAGCAGACAGCAGCGCAGAGAGCACCACGTTAGGAACCACCACATATCCTTCTGAAAAACCAAATGCCATGGTGCCTGCTCAGATGGCGCAGAGACATTCCTCTGGTAATATGATGGGGAGCGGGCTGCTTGGAAAGTGCTTCTGTGTGTTCGTCCTGCTTGCGTGGAGCTCCTGATGCGGGCCTCTGGAGGGAAGAGGGTAGGATGTGTGAGCACAGCTTGATTATAAGGAGGAGGTAAATGTCAGAGTGTTGGTGCATTCAGTGCATGATCCTTTATTTGGAATTGAGCGCTTGCCTCCACCCCATTCCTCAGTCCTGTGAGGCCCCAGTTTTCTGTGTGTGTGTGTGTGTGAGAGAGAGAGAGAGGGCTATTAACCTATTCTAATAGTTTACAGGTCCTGTAACACAATAAGAAACAAATAAATAAAACACATCATCAGCATGATGTTGCTAATACATAAAATGAGTGACAATAATCCCATAAAGGTAAAGCGGAGACTGGAATAATAACCTTTCCATCCCTCCTTTCTTCCAAGGTGCGAAGGGCCGTATATTCCAGAAAATAGTTGTGTTAGTCTCTTACAGCAAAAAGAGCACTGTGGCACCTGAAAACCTAACACATTTATTCTGATATGAGCATCTGTTGTCTGTAGCCCACTTCTTCAGATGCATGCAGTATTATGGAGGATTTCAGGTTTATATGAAATTGTAGCAGCACTGATGGTAGCAGAGGGGGAGGATTGTAAATAGTGATGTCAGAAGGAAATTAAATGCCTAAAGCAGCAATCACATCATTAGCAGTGGTCATTTGCACAAGCTTCCTGGCACCAGGTCCCTGTTCCCAACACTGTTCCCAACACCAGGTCCCTGTTCCCTGTTTTATCCCTGTGTTTGCCCTGGGGGTTTGTTTAAGTCCAGAGATAGTGAGCTGCCCAAGGTCACCACAGTCAGTTTCTGGACAGAGTGTGGATATGAACCTGGATCTCTCCTCTGTTGTGTTCATTGTAGTACACTGTCTATCTTGTGCAGTTCCCTTCCAGGAGTTGCAAATTACATCGCCATCTCTGCAAAATGTGCGGAGTTCTTCCTTTTCTGTGTTCTAAATCTTCCACTAACCAGCTTCGTTGAATTATCCTGGGCTGTAGTCTTACGAGGGGTGGGTCTGGGGAATGTCACCGTTTGTTATACGTACTGTAATCAATCATGTCCCCCCCCCCCCCGCCCCGCTTTACTTACCTTTTAAGCAAAAACAGCAGGAATGTTATAATGTTCCTTTACAGGGGAGCTTTTCAGTGTCTGGCTCATTTTGCCCTTTTCACCACCTTTTTAAGACATACAATACTTGTGAGATGTGGCAACCAGAACTATAGAACATATTCTAAGTGTGGCTACACTGTAGATACTTGTATAAAAATGTCATGAAAGTGCCCGTTGTATGTTCAGTTCCTAGCATCAGGTCTGCGATTTTCACAGCTGCTGTATACTGCATTTGCCTTTGCATTGCACCATCCACCACAAAGGAAAACGTATTTCCTAATTCAGGCCCCATCAATGCATATGAGAAGTCAGAACGGTTTTCCGTAGTGTGCATGATTTTGCATACATTCACATTTGCCACTTCGTTGCCATTCACTCAGTTTGGAGCTCTTCGCATTTCACTCGCGTTTTTACTGCCCAGAATTATTTGGGGTCATCTGCAAGTTTGACTACCTTGTTGCTTGTCTGTAACTCCAAATCAGTTGCTTATCTGCCTACCTAATCTATTTTAGCTTTATATCCTGCCACGTGATTGGTCCCTGGGTCATTGAAGGCATGCCTGCTCCCATCACAACCTACCTGTACACCTAGGTTGTCTATGTCTATGTCCTCTGTGTGCTGCTTTCATTTGAATGCTGATGCCTTTTTGGTCAAGGCACGCTTCTCCTGGAATGTGCTCTTCAGCACTCTAAAATCAGCAGTCTGATGTGTTTCAGTGTCAGGCAAAGAACTTTTATTACAAACTAATAAATTCTTGTGCTGTTTACAAGTAGTTTAATAGCATGGGATTGTATATGGTTTTGTTGGCTGCTGTATTACTTTCATGTAATAAAAGTTCATCTCTTAGATGTTACCAATTTACACAAATCACACGTGCTGTATTGAAGGACAGGATGCAATTGTACAAATCACATAAAATTCCTTTCCTTAGGAGATCCCTCTGCAAACCCAATGCTACCCAGAGCAGCACCAAGTAAAGACGCAGATGAGCAGACTCGGAAGAATGTGACTGGGAAAAATAGAGGCAAGAGGAAAGCAGACTCTTTGCCACAGGACAACGAACTTGAGGTGGGTGTTCAGCTTTCCTAATTTCTATCCTTCCAAAGCATGAGAATGCTTGCATAAAAAGCTGGGATGGGGGTGGTCAGACAGTGATGCAATTAGGCAGTTTTAGATTCTGGACTTAATGGTCCTATGGTCCCCCCCTCTTTTCTTATGCTTCCTCTCCTAAGCTGGTAATGTGGACTCTTACACTTCAAAATGTGCAAAGCCAGTCCTGCTGCACTGTAGAGTTTTCCTGTGCATTCTGCTAAGTGGGTCCCTTGTACCAACCCCAGTGGTGTTGGTGCCATTGGTGCTAGATAGTAGACCTCTGTGAATGAAAGCTTTAGAATCTGCAAGCAATGGCAGCACATTTTACTGAAGAATTGCCAGGGTAAAGTCGGAGTTGGCAAACACACTGTGGGCCATGCTCATCGCTTTCCCTTTACATCTGGCATTGTAAAAAAACAAAACAAACCAGGAATGCCTCTTTTCTTGGTTATTCTCATGATATATGGCCCTGGCACTCAGGGTTGTTTAAACAACTCAGTGTGCTATGTTAGTATGGCAAAACAGGACCACAAAGGTGACACTGCTCTTGCTCCCTCTGGGGTGGCCGTGGCTAACTGTGGTGATGTAACTCAGCCTTCCCCAACCTCGGCCCTTCCAGTTGCAACACCCAGAATTCCCATTCAATGGCCCTGCTGGATGGGAATTCTGGGAGTTGCGGTCCAAATGCCTCGGAAGGCCACCAGGTTGGGGAAGGCTGATGTAACTGGGTATGTAGGATGGGAGAGCTCTTCCAACAAAGGTGCTTTGTTGACCAAGGAAAAGCAGAATGTCAGCCACCTACGATTTATAACAGGGAGAACCAGTTCAGGGGTATCACACACTCTGTCAGTTAGAAGAATTGATGCCACGAACATGCACAGAAAGCTTTAGGTCCTGGGCATACTCCATCCCACATTACCTGAGAACATGGTGCAATCCTGTAGCCCAGACCTTGAAAACCTGAGATCTGGGATCCAGGGCCCAAATTCCTGGGCTTTCTATCTAAAAAGAAATTTCAGTGTGGTGTCATTAGGCTCATATAAGAGACACAAAGCTCTCTCCTGTCTCGATCTAAGATCCTTAAGTAAGCCAGCAGGTCTGTTTAAGTTGCTGCAATGAGGAGGTTTTCTAGGTAACTGGGAGGGGGGGTGGAACCTTCCAAAATTAACCCCTGTTTGTTCTTTCTTCCTCAGCGAGTGTTTCTGTGGGACTTAGATGAGACCATCATAATATTTCATTCTCTTCTCACAGGATCTTATGCCCAGAAATATGGGAAGGTATTGATATTTTAGTTGTTATGTAGAATCTCTGAATGTTCCACTGGTCAGTATTGCAAACTTGCTCTTCTGCACTATTGAAATGTGGATGGTGTTCAGAAGAAGTGAGGCAGACTGGGTTCGCATGATCCTTGCAATGGTCGGTCGGGGTGTGTGCCAGTCGCTCTTTTGAATATTCACGCTGTGGTGGGCAGTTGCTGTGGCTTTTGTTGTGCAAGCCCAATGAAAACCCTCTCACATAAACCATGATTTTAGGATTGTTGAACTCTTGCATAAACTGCACTTGCTAGATTCATATGTTATGATAAACCAGAGAGACCAACCACTGTGGCCCGAATAGAAGAACCCATGGAGGGCTCCAGCAGTGAGACCCTTCCTTCAGCTGCTGTGGAGTCTTCGCCTCCCAGAGCTGTTTCCATCAGCAATCATTCTTCTGGTTGTTGTAGAGGAAGCGATTAAACAAGTGTGAAGCAATGCATGTTGGGACAGAAAAGGTCGCAGCTTCAAGGATAGGCTACTGGGTTCAGAGCTAGCAGTGACCGATCATGAAAGGGATAGTAGGCTTGATGAAAATATTGGCCCAGTCCACAAATGCTGTGAAAAAGGCAGACTTTGTGTTAGCAGAATTGAAAAGGAATTGAAATAAAACTGCTAAGCTCATACTCCCTTTACACAAATCTTTAGAGTGGCTGCACTTAGAACTTTATATACAATTCTGGTTACTGTACCCCAAAAAATGGCACTTCTGAGTTGGAAAAAGTGCAGAGAAGGGCAACTGAAATGATGATGGGGTTTGAGCAATGGTTACAGCAACTGGGATTGTTTAGCTTAGGAAAAAGGCAAATAAGAGGAGACGTAATAGAGGTGTACAAAATTATGTATGGTGTGGAGAAAGTGAAGAGATATTTTCCGTAATATTGGAACCTGGGGTTATCCAGTGAAGCTGATAGGTGGGAGATTCAGGACAGAAAAAACTTCTTCACACAGCACATAGTTAAATTATGGATTTCACTGAGATGGGAAGTAGTGATGGCCACCAATTTATGTATCTATTTATATTTGGATGTCTTTGAAAGGGGACTGGACAAATTCCTGTAAGAGGAGACTGTCCATGGCTACTAGCCTTGCTGGCTATGTGTTTCCTCCATTATCATAAGCAGTATGCCTGCATATATCAATTGCTGAGGAGCTAAGGCAGACAGAACTCTTATCTTTCCTGCTCAAGATAACCGGCAGGCAGCCGGTTTGCTACCTTGTGAATGGAGCGCTAGACTGGATGGACTATCTGTCTGATTCAGCATGGCTCTTCTTGTGTTCTTAAGGCCCTTCTATCATCTTGGTTTCCATCAGACCCTTCTATCCATTCAACAGCCATCTGGTACCACCTGTCCTAGAACTGACTCTACCTTCCTCTAAGTTAACTGGTTGTACTTAATTTTCTTCTTCCCTCCCTCTTTCTCTTCTGCTTTGGCATTGTGTCCATTCATGGACAGCCTTGAGGTCATTGACAGAACAGCAGCTTATTGAATAGCCCCCTGCATATCTACTCAGAAGCTTATTTCCAGCTGAATGTGTACAGGGTTTCAGCCTTGCTATCTTTAAGACTATCCTGGGGCCTGGATTGTTCTAGGCTTACTCCTGTGCAGCTTACTTCTCTGGAAGTGGGTTTGGGATAGCTGCCTCAGTAGTATAGCCCTAGTTCTAAGCCAGAGTAGCTAGAAACATTTATTACACTTTGCATTTATTACACTTTGCATTTCACTGCTCCGTTACACAGGGCGATAGCCGAGGAGTGAGCTGCAAGTTCTAGAAGTGTTTCCTTTTATGAGGAAATTCTGACTTCTTCCTCCGCAAGCTTCGTACGCACTCACACCTGCACACACTGATTGTTTTCCTCTGTTCTCACTTCAAGGATCCAACTCTAGTAATTGGTTCTGGATTGAGTATGGAAGAAATGATTTTTGAAGTGGCAGACACACACTTATTTTTCAATGACTTAGAGGTATGTATTCTCCTCCTGATCCTGACCGCGAAGCAGATGTGTTGGGATGCCACAGCCAAGAACAGGTGTTTTAAAGGGAATTGGTGGCACCAGGCAGGTCTGAAACAGTGCTAGAAGGAAAGCCAGGCTCAGTGCCCAAACTGAGCCAGCCCAGACTGTCATAGCTTGGGGCTTACATGCTTCAAAGCACAACTCCGCTGTAATTAGCAAGACCAATCCAAGAGCAACTTCTTTGCAGGGGTGAGGTGTCTCTACCTTTCTAGGTATAGTTCATTCCCAACTTCTGCTGCATCCAACCAGCATGGCCAGTGGTGATGCGACTTGTGTTTCATTTCACACTGTCCTGAGCCACTGTTTGCATCTGGCTCCAAGTGGTGGATCTCGGGATTCTAATAAAACAGCCAAAATCGACCCTGAAAACTTAGGTCTACTAATTGCTATGTAAGAGCTTCAATTACTGGTCTGAATAGAAATTGGATGGATGGATGGATGGATGTTCTAAAATACAGTTGACTTGTGGTTTTATGAATTTTCTTGCTAACAATATTAAGTGTAATTAAGTAGGTACTGCCTGGTAAACCATTTTAGAACATTTAGAATGCTTATTTAGAACAGCATCAAACTCGGGAGTGGCCAGCCCATGTTCCTGGATGGGCAAAAGTTAACTGTCCAGATGTTTTGAACTTCAACAACCAGAAGCCCCTGCCAGCATAACCAGTGCCCCAGAATGCTGAGAGGTGAAGTTCTAAAACATCTGAACCTTTCTTCCAACTCCTGATTTAGAGGCACGAAACAGTACAGCTCCTGTTTTGGCAGCCAAAGGCCTTTGAACTTAAAAATTAGACAGGGATTTTAAAAAATCCTATAGCATCTTTGCTGTACTTATTGCAGAATCTGAACTCTGGGTGGTTCACAACACTTTAAAGCCATAAAATGCAGTATAAAATTGAAATGCTTAAAACTACAGTATAAAATAAAACTCAGAGTAAATCCAGACAAGTCATAAGGAGCATCTATGAGGAGTTAACATCAGGAGTGGATCAGAGCTCAGGTTAGTCTTCCTGCTTTGTAGGCAGTCTCTAGCACCTCCATTTAAAAAGGGTCTGGCAGCAGGTGCTGAGAAAGACACCTGTCCATCTGAGCCACTGCTAATAAGAATACACAGTAAGGGGCTTAGGTGGACAAATAGTCTGACCCCATATAAGGCAGCTTCTTGTGCTTTATTTACTCTCATTGCAGGAGTGTGACCAAGTCCATGTGGAAGACGTTGCATCAGATGACAATGGGCAAGATTTAAGGTGATCTACTTGTGTTTTTTATTTATTGTGCCCAAGGGCTAAGGAGAGTAATAGTATTGCATTGGAAAAGCCATGATCACAGAAACATGTCATGCTTAAAAGAAAACTGTGTTCTGTCAGATCAAGCATCTGTCTCTCAGACCCCAGTATTGTCACCTCCTGAGTGCCAGTAGCACTCCAGGAGACTCCTACAGAAGTTTGTCTTGTCATCTACTCCCTGATTCTACTTGAGGATGACATTGATTGAATCTGGAACCTGACCTATGCATAGCTTGGGTTCTACTACTGGTCTTTCAAACATCCTGAATAAGTGTTTCTGATGGCAGTAGCTTCCAAAGGTCCCAAGGCAACTTGCCCATGGAAAACTCCCTATTTCATCTCTGTCATCATGACTTAATATAATGGGAGAGCAGAAGCTGAGCTATAGAGGCTTGCCTTGGTCTGGGAATATGAATAGGCTTCCAAGGATCAAAAACCTGATCACACAAAGACAATTAAGTGTTCCGGGTTCTGAGCACCAAGAGCAATGAATCAACAGGGCTGAGGACAGAGTCTGGGGTGTTCAAGAGCAGGGAGATGTGCAGTGGGAGGACTGGAATCCCTCTTTCAGCAAGAGTAGTTGTCAGAATCTGTAACCCAAAGTGTGCCCCCTTTCCCCCCCAGCAACTATAATTTCTCCACGGATGGCTTCAGCAGCTCAGGAAGCAATGCCAATCATGGCTCAGCAGGTGTCCAGGGTGGAGTGGATTGGATGAGGAAGCTGGCTTTCCGCTACCGGAAGGTACGCGAGGTCTATGAGAAATACAAAAGCAATGTAGTAGGTAAGTGTGAACAGCATCCTCCTTCTGCCCACTTACTGCAGGCTGAGCCTGGGAGCGCTAGGTTGGGGGGGGGGGGTGGATGCTAGTGTGTGCATTATATGTATTCATCGTTGATTTAAACCCCTTTTATGCTATTCTTGTGGGGGAACAAAAATCAAGGCAGCTTAGAAACAGATTTAGAAAGACGTCCTTAAATAGAAAGTAAAACATTAAAAACAGTCTCCAAAACAATAGCAGGAATTTGAAAAGCCACATTAGAAAGATGCAGCTTGACGACCTTTCTGAATGCTGAGAGAGTGGGGTCAGTCGTTGCACCAGACAGACCCGTGCACTGCAGGGTCTGGGAGCACGTTGCCTTTTCCACCTGCCTTAACAAGCCTGCCTCTGCAGGTGAGATTGCCTTTAAAAAAGGATGAAAACACAAAGGCACCTGCACTGCCTATAAGCGGAATCTTACAGAGTGTAATATATTTATTAGGTCCTTGGAGCACCAAACTCTTGCAGAGCCCACTTTGAATGTCTGCAAACCATCCTGCTCCATATAACCTTCAGGCTGGGAGTTCTGCAGACATCCCGCTTAACAACATCCAGTTAGCCCTTCTTTCCCATTTTCCCAGATCCTCCACCTCTCCCCCAAAAAACTTATTTTACAGTAGTATCTTGCCTGATGAAGAGATCTAGAGATTTTCAAAGCTTACACATTTTTTTGTGTTCTTCGGGTTTGCCTGATAAAGTTATTACAACATTCTTGTTCTGTCCTCGTTGAGCTTTTGTGTGTCGGAGAGGTAGAGGTAGAAGCAGCCAGCCCATCCTGAGGGAATGAGGCCATGTTTGTGGGGAAATGTGTGGGGAAATGCAAAGTCCCATGTTGGTCAGGAGCCTGTAGGGGGCTTACCTTCCAGCAGCTGTGTATCTTCTAACAAAAAGTTATTTATCGCTTTATTTAGCCAATGTGTGTGTGTCTGCGTGTCCTAACATATTTGTGAGCTGTCACATCAAAAAAGTGCTTCCTTACAGCATAGCAAGGCTGGGAGGGCAGGCTGTTTATTATACACTATTTTATATGTAACCATGTACAAGCCATCTTGAAGACCAAACTGCAGAAAAATGCCCTTGAAATTCTAAAACTAAAAAACCCAAAAACTTCACTGGGCACATGTACAGTGACTGAGTGACTACCTGCATTTTCATAATGTCATTTCCAGTTTTGAATGATTCCTTATCAAATGAATCCAGGCATCAGAAAGTTCTGGGCCTTCACTTATTCAGCAAAATCATATTTTTGCTTTCTGTTGGACGTAATTGAGTGTTCTGTGTCCATTCTGCAGCTCTCCTCAGCTCAGAGAAGAAGGAAGCTTTGCGCAGATTGAGGGAAGACATAGAAATGTTAACAGATTCCTGGTTGGGAACAGCACTAAAATCTTTACTGCTCATTCAGTCCAGGTATGGAGAGATGTTGTGGTCTTCTCTATTTTTACAGGTTTCTAGGAGCATTGTGATGTTTCTTGTGCATCCCACATTGTAGAATGATCTGGTCTGACTTGTGTTTAGGCTGCCACATCCCAGAGTCTCGTGACTGCATGCCCAAACCAGCCCGCTGCGTCTGCTTTTCCTCCCATTAAGACATTCCTCCCATTACTACCCCTAATAGACCAAGGACTGTGATCCATTTCAAGGAACTTCTCAGGGAGGCCTGAGCACATCAGTGAAAAGGGAGCAACCAGAAGTACGACAGATCCTGCCATTTTGTCATTTCCAGCTCTTACTGCCGTTTATGTACCTGTAGGAGAGGAAATTCAACCATTTAGAGTGGGGAGAATACTGCAGAAAAGTCTGGAAACTAATACATAATGGGTGGTTGGGGGAAAGGCGAAGGCCATGTTGGCATCTGGGGAGCCCAAGAGGGTTGGATTTGGCCCCCAGGCCTGAGGCTCCCCACACCTGTATTAACAACATGAAGGCCTGGACCGGGGGAAGATATGGCTCAGATGACGTGAAATGAAAACCCAGGCTTTTTAGCAGTGAGGATGGGCTTGGTTTGAACCCTGAGTTTTATTATCACCTGAATTTTTATGGGACTGCAAACCACCCTGAAATCAACGGATACAAGAAAGTCTGTGTGTGTGAATACTTTTTTCAAAAAATCAATAAATAATGTAATACATGAAACTTTTAAAAAAGAAAATATTTTAATGGGTTTGTAGTGCATTACTGGCCAAACTAGTTTTCAGTTAATATTTGACTTTCTGCGCTCAGCATTTTAAGAATAATACGTTGAGGCTGCTCTTCAGGCAGATACAGCCTTCCCTAACCTGATTTCCACCACAGATACTTTGGACTACAGTGCTTATCCTTGCTAGCCAACTTGGCCGTGAACAGCTCTGGCTGGGAGCTGTAGTCCCACACATGTAAAAGGCACAGCGCCAGGGAAGGCTGGGCAGGACAACCAGAAAATGGCCACCCATCCGTAATTCTTGCCTCTCCTTCTGCAACATGCAGTTCAACTCACTTTGTGTTCTGGCATCACAAGGATGTTTCCACAGCACTGGCTCCTTCTGGCCGTGCACTTGGAAACACTGCATAATGATACCCAGATGCAAGACAAACTGTGTGCAGAAGGAGAAGGGGAGCTGTTTTTTATGTGGCAGCCCCGGGTTGCATATAAACATTCCGCCCGTAATTATAGTTATCTGAAATAAGGAGAGGAATACAAAAGATCTAGCAGTGACTAATAGAGGAAGCTCCAGATTGGGCTTTCTAATGTTCCTCCTTCCTTAGAATGTGTAAAGGCAAGATGCACAACGTTCTGACTCTCTCTCCGTTCTGTAAGTAAAACCCCTTGAGTGTTTTCTTGTGTTTACTCTCCAGAAAGAATTGTGTGAATGTTTTGATAACAACCACTCAACTGGTGCCAGCCCTGGCCAAGGTTCTGCTGTATGGACTGGGTGAAGTGTTCCCAATCGAAAATATTTATAGTGCTACAAAAATAGGTAGGTGATTACATCGTATTCCTCCTCTCTCCACTTCTTGAACCAGGTGATGTTTGGCATCAGTCCATGAGTGTTAACTGGTGTGGAGTGGAGGGAGCAAAATGAAGTTTTCCAAAGCTCACACCAATCGCAGCGACTTCCTGAGGAGTATATTCCCCTTTCCGTACATGTTACATGGTTCTTAATGCTGCTGTCTCAAAGCGTTTCTGGAGCAACAGCCACAGATGGGCGGACGGATGGGGCAGGGATCTGTTGCTGCTGGAGAAGCAGTGGACCTCTTGGAGGGGCTGGCTGGACAGAGCACCTTCTGGTGGGCTCCCTCCTTTATTAGTGGGCCCTGAAGGCAAATGGTAGTAACAGCAACAGAGCTCCAAGAAGCCCCAGGCAATAGCTGAGTCTCCATTTTACTTCTGCACAATGCCTCGTGATAATGTTGCCCTGGGCCTTGTGGGAAATTGGAATGGCACCTAGATCCAGTGTCCTGCTGGCTCTTTGAGCACCTGCAGTGAGCCCTGTCAGGTCGTTTGAGCCCCTGCAGGGACCCAGGAGACCCACTGCTGGTGCCACCCTTGTTATGCGCCAGCAATGTTCCCTTGCCTTGACTGTAATCATAAAGATGTCTATAATGCTTGGCAGGCAAAGAGAGCTGCTTTGAAAGGATTGTCTCTCGGTTTGGGAAGAAGGTGACATATGTGGTGATTGGAGATGGACGTGATGAAGAGCTGGCAGCCAAGCAGGTGACCTTGGGCTTTCTTTTGTTTGTTGGACTTTCCCCCAGGAGGACCGTGTCCCTTTCACGCCCCAGTATAGCCCGTTATCTCCCTTCATGTGTTGCTGGGAGCCTTGCAAAGGTGCTGAAGCTGCTGCACAGCTCAGTCACTCCTAGGTATCTTCTTTAGTGCAGAATTCATTTCTCAGGATGGCAGGTCTAGCTTGGGTTGTTCCAGGATGACTGGGCATTTCCAGATGGTGCTCTTCAGAAGGCTGCAGAGGTCCTTTGCTGATTCCTAGTCTGGCAGTGCTGAGGGAGATCGACGTGGGGCCATGCCTCCAGACCTGCTGAAAGACTGATTCCTCTGCCCCATTCTCTTTTTCTCTCAGGTCTTGTGCCTTTTTAGAACATAGTCCTCCAGGCAGGGGCTGCCTTCTTTTAATTATTCTTTGTAAGCAATTCCAGAAGGCTTTTTGGCTGAGGAACAGGATAAAAATACTTTCGGTAAATAAAGCAAGGGTTCTGGAACATGATTGCCTGGGCAAAGCCTCCAGTGGACAGCTGTGTTGCGTGCTTGGTGGGTGGCCTGGCAAGATGTCTCAAAATAGCAGTGTCTGGAAATCCCCCCTCCCCTCCCCTCCCCTCATGGGCAATAGTTTGGTCAGAATCGCCCTGCCCCACACAAGCAGCAGGCTTCTGTTCCTGCCGCACAAAACTAGCATAAACCTGTCAATCTGCATAGGATGTGTAACAACCCTTTTTTGTTGTTGTTTTGCAGCATAACATGCCCTTTTGGAGAATCACAAACCACGCTGATCTGGTGTCCCTCCACCAGGCCCTCGAATTGGACTTCCTGTGAGTCGCTGGGCAAAAGGCCATTCAGCCGGGCTCCCGATGGCCCCTGCTGGCTTAAACAGGAGCCCGCTTGGGGTCTTCCTTTTCCATCCTGACAAAGAAATGTAGCGAATGGAAGTTTTCAGTAGGAGGTGTCAGACCCTCGCTTTCCCCAGGAGAGCTGCCGATCCTGCTGTACACGTCATTTGGGGCACTTGAATTGTCCTCTGCGTTTTGGTGAAAAGAATTTTCTGGGCGGGAAATTTCCAGCAGTAAAGACCTTTTTCACTGTGCAGACCTTTGTGGTATTATGTTTAAAAAGAGAGAGAAAAGAACACTTTTGTAGAGTACTTTTGTGACCTCCAGGCCTCTCTCGAGTGTTTGAATGTTAAAGGAAATTAATTAACTCTTGATTATTTTACAGAAAAGGATCCAGAAATATTTCCCTTCTTGCAAAACCAGAGAAAGGGCCATAGATTTTCAAGGAAAAGTTTCAGAATTATCCTGTGTGTTAGGGGGTTCCTTCCCCCTCGTAGTCTGCTGAGACATAGACCTGGCCGTTCCCGTGAAGTCTGACCTCGAGAAACAGAGGGCTGTGAGCAGTTCCTCCTGAGATGCTCTTTCTAGTGAACACCTGGTTCTCCACCTGGTTTAGCATCCTCCACGTGCCACAGCAGGATATTTTGATGCAGGGATGTCAGTTGGCCACAGTAACAGAGAGGAAGAGTAAGGCATTGGGCCTGGACTTCCCAATTTCATCCCCCTTTTCACTTATCTATAAGCATAAGCAGAGCAGCATGGAAATGCTATTTCTTAAGATAACAGCTGGACCTTTTCTGCCATCATAAAACAGGTGTTACCAGGGTGACACAGACACACTTGCTCTCCGCTTACCAGCACTGGCCGCGATTTGCCGATTTCCAAGCAAGGTTCCAGCTTGGCACCAACTTCAGCATTCCTCTTCCTTGTTGATCAGTTGCAAGGCTTTTTTGAGGCAGAGGGGGAGTTGAGCAGAATAAATACAGCTGTACAAGACTCTCCTGGAGTCCAGAATGAGAGACAGGCACCAGAGTGTCAGGCGCTCACACTGGCCGGAACACATTCTCAGAACAGGATGTAGGAGCTGTCAGTGACGGCAGGGGCAGGAATCCCCTAATTTTCATGGGATGCTGCTGGCGTGTCACTGGACATAGGGACCCACCAGCCCCTCACTTCCTGGCACGGTCAGGTGCAGAGAAACCGTTCTAGAAAGGTCCCCACTGGGTTTGGTCCTATGCAGTACCTCCTGCTGATCCACCACACCTGCCCGCCATCCTGCTGTTTAAATAGAATAGCAGATTCCACGGGGTGCTTGGCTCAGTTCATAGCAACTGGGATGGGTGAAGTAAGTTGCTAGTTGGGTAGCACAGTGGATATGCTACAAGGGCGCAGCGTTTGTGAGAGGAGGAGCTTCTGGGCAAGGACGTGTGTGCCAAAGGGAAGAGCATTTCTGCCTTTTACAGTGCAAGGAGCCACAAAGCTGCATTGCTCCTCGGGGTCCCTCCTAAGGGAGGCAGGCTTCATTGCCCAAAACTGCATTTCCCCTGAACAAGCAGGGACGTTGTGAAACGAAAAGGAGTTCCGATTCCGTGCTTCCAACTTGCTGTGTATTTTCTTTCATTTGGGGGGAGGGGGGGTCAGTATCCAACTAGTTGCCCTTGGCAGCCATCTTGTCCTGAGAAAACCTGAGTTAGTGTGGGCTGCACTTGATACTGGAATCAGCTGTGTGCCTTAACTTCCACCCAAGTCCTCGAAATGTCAGCTGCTGTGCAAACCCCACCCCTTTTCCTTTCCTTTTTAAGTGCTCCCAGTAAGCATAACTGATGGAGGTGCTGAGTGAGCAGGCATGCAATATTCTGGGTATCATTTTGCTTGCGGAAACTTTCAGGAGCCTTCAAGATTTCCGAAAACCCTTTGGCCACATGTGAAGCTTTTTGCATCAGATACCAATATTTATAGGGCACCCCCTCTGTTCTCTGTGAACTTATTTACCCCCCTCCCTAAATCCCTCGGGTGATGGTACCTTTTCTGTGTTAATGTCAATGTCACCCTGGCTCTTGTATTGCTAAATTTGCTGGCTGCCTTTCTCTCGAGTCTTCATAAAGAATTTGGAAAACAATCTTTGCTCTTTTTTTTAATTGCCTCCTGCCTTTCAGTTTTTCACTCTCGTTAGCATCCAAATGTCACCTGGTTTCATTTGAATGCTGCGACGGATCGGATCGCTAAGACTCTCTGCATCCTGAGTGTTCCCCTCTCTGACTCAGCCTATGGTTTTTGTTGCAGTCCAAACTGAAGTCCCGCCAAGCGTGGGCGGCAGTGTCTGCAGCTGAGGCAAATGCGGGTGCTGTTGTAGATTCCCAGTGCTGGTTCTCCCTCAGGGTCCTGCCAATGTCCAGAAGTGGCATCAGCTGTGCTTACGGTTGTGATTGGAAGGCATTAAACAGCTATAGATTCCTTGACCATCATGCTCTGTGTAATAGGAAACTGTCCTGTGAACTGGAAAAATAAAGTCTTTTATTTTCTATATTAAAAAATGGTTCTTTTCTCCTTGCTGATAATTCAGTCCAGAAACACTCTCTGTGCAGAGACATTGGAGCACGCGAGTTCCTGTTTCTCAGATAAACCGGATGTTGCACCTGCGTGCAAGCGGGACAGCTCATGGATTGCAGCCACCACGTGGCTTCTGCCCTGCCTGCCAGGTGCCCACAGCAGGGACACCTGGCACTCTTCAGATGTGCTGGACGACAGCTTGTATTTAGTCCCACACGGTTGGAGAGCACCGGGTTGGGGAAGGCTTGAGCACACAATGCTCCGGGTTGGTCATCCTCCAATGAGCTTAGGAAAGTACCCATGGTGCCCTGACCATGCGGATAAATATGCAGTGAAGCTCCAAGGCAGCTGAGGCCTTGAGCTGGGAACTGAGCCAGGGCAGCCGCAGCCTTCACTCTACCCTGGCGGTGCTGCTCCTGCCTTGCTCGACCCGACCCGACCCGACCCACCTCCTTGGCACGCGTACCCTGCCATCCATCTACCCAGGTTCCTGCACTTCCCTCTTCCTGATGGCACTTCATGGCCAGCTGGAGCTCATCAGCCCCAACTCCCCATTCCTCCCATCCAGGGAGATCACGGCTACTTTGCAGGAAACCATGATCCTCAAACATGAGTTCACAGAGGACAGGAGAACAGCATCTTCCTCTGCCTCCATGTGGATCCCCTGCAATATACAAGAGCAACAGAAGTTGACTTGCACATTTAACTCCGGGCAGGAGAGAATTTCCTTCAGCTTGCATTTTGATACAAACATCTCTACCTACACTTCTGACTCAAAGTTGTCCTTTGGTGTTTGCATTTCTCTGAACAAAAGCTGCATGCATTCAGGGAAAGTGCGTACAAAACATGGCTGCGATAGAGATGAAGTGCACCGAAAGCATAGAAAGGAAAACTGGTTGCAGGAAATGTGAACAATGTGCTCGAAGTGAACATGATTTTCATCCAGGTTTGTTTCCTTAAAAGCAAGCTGATGTGAAAATGGGAGGGCATGAACTTGGAAGCTAGAAGCATTCAAAACCAAAACTGATGGTTTCACAGGAACTGACAATCTCACTGCTGCAGGTTCAAAATTATCCATTGCATCACAGTTTAGAAGGTAGAAATCCTCTTGAATTACATGATACATACCACTTCCTCTTCTTGGGAGAGGGACTGTTTCCTGTTGCAAGGTCATGCACAGTCATTTGCCCCTGTTGGTTTCTGTGCTTCAGCAGTATTTGGAGCATCATTTTCCTCAGTGCTTTTTCTGGGCAGTTTGAGGCGTCAACTTTGGATCCTAGTCAGGAAGTCTCTTCACAGTTAAGCTTGGTGTGGAACATGTGGAAGAGGATACGTATTTCTTCTCCTGTAATACTAGAACTCAGGATTATTCCATAATGCTGATTGTGGGAGATTCTGGACAGAAAGAAGTAACAGTGCATGGAATTCCCTGTGAGAGAAAGTTGTTTCTGCTTATTTGGACAGCTCTAAAAATGGACTGGAGAAATTCATGGAGGAAGGTATACAAAGTTACTAGCCCTCATGGTTTATAGCTACTACCTCCAATATCAGAAGCAGTCTGCCTATGTGCACCAGCTGCTGAGGAACATGGACACTCATGTCCTTGTGGGTATCCTTGCTGCACTTATGTCCTCTGGGAATCCCACAGGCACCTGGTTGGCCACACTGGGAGGAGAATGCTGAACTGAACAGCCCCATGGTCTACTCCGTCATGTCTCCACTTCTGGCCTCCTGCTCTGGTGCCCTTCCTACCTCACAGGTTTATTGTTGTGGGGATAAGATTGAGAGCAGCAGGAGAATGGTATAAGCTGCCTTGAGTTCTTTAAAAAAGAAAAAAGGCGGGATATAATTCCTATAAATAAATAAGTGGAATGAACTCTCATTGTAGGCTTTGAGTAACCCAATCAGGGACCACCTCTGTGGGTGTTCCAAGAGGTTGATTTGCTTGTAATTATACGCTGGAGGAAATGAGAAAACACACAGTACCACACAAGGTCCTGGGAGTCATCCATCCAAAATAAGTAGATGTCCAAAGGCTGATTTGATGATGCACTTCTAGAACATCTGGTCCTTTGTCTTCCTGGAATGGCTTTCCAGGTGATGCCAGATGGCAGTTCACACCAGCCTCAGCAGGTACAGCCAATGGTGTGAGATCATGGGAACTGCAATCCAACATCTGGCGAGCACTGTATTTCCCACCCATGGTCTAGGTTTGGTCATATTCAAAGAATAGACCCACTGAAATCAATGAGAGTTAACATTAGTTGTAATTGAGTCCCAATGACTGTAATGGGTCTGCTCTAAGTAAAACTAAACCTGGATCCACCACCTTCGGTGTGTGCTGATAAAATAACACAGCCAAAGAGAAGCAGGATGCTGTTTATTCTGACTAAACAACTTCACCAATGGTTATAATTTAACACTCTACACTGAGGTTGAACCAGAGGCTAAACTCAAAAAGTTAAGCAGCAGCCATACCTTTGTGGTTGTTTTTAATTAACTGTAGCTGTGAAAGCTGCAGACTGAATGAAGGAACTGGGGCAGGGGTTTCAGTGGCATATCTTTCCCCCATAAGTGGAACGAAGCAGCCGAGGGGGATTTTGGAAGAAGGTGCTGGGGAGGAGCATGGGGACTCCCACTGCAGCTTTTCATTTAGCAAACACAGAGCCTTTGCCATACAAAATTCCATTTGCACTTGAATCCTAAATTAATTTAGACAGAATCAGTCTGCAACCTGAACAACTGAGAACATGTAACACTGTCTGAAAGTACCTTAAATTATATGAGATAAAATGCACGCACACAGATACAGACACGGGGGGCACTATTGGAGAGACACCCCCCCCCAGCCAGAATTCAGAAAATCCTCAAATCTGAGCATCATCAAGCCCTGTGACAGGAGCAACCAACTGAAACTCTTGCAGGAGGAAGTTTCAGCCACAGGAGCCTGATCACACGTCAGCCTGATGAATTAATGAAAGAGCACTTGATGGATGGATGGTCTGGTTTAGATGTCACTGTTTCCTGACCTGGGGTCCATCCAGATGTTTGGACAACTGCCATTGTCCCTGACCACTGGCCATGGTGACAGGGACTCACCAGAGCTGAAGTTCAAAGCATCTCAAGGCTACCAGGCTGGGGAAGGCTGTGCCGATTCATTCTTTATCACGATGTTGAGCCCCAGACAGCCTCAGTTCAGAAGGCTTCTAATTTTGATTGACTACGGTTTACCATTACGTCCAAATCCTAAACTGTGGTTAGTTGAAATACGCCAGCTTCATGACTGACAGTTTGAAGCTGGTATGTTTCAAAGATGTAGTTAAGCAAGAAGAGGAAGTGTGCAGCATCTTGTTCTCATCACACTCAACTACGGCTTAGTGTAACATTGGAAGACAGCCAGCGAGGACCAGCACAGCAAGAATGGACACATGAGAAAGGAAATGAATGAAGGCACAACAGGGTCAAGTCAGGGAATGCGAGTCAGTTGCCCCTCAAGGAAACTCATGAAGGCACAGGCTAAAACATCTCACACAGCAGCTTGTAAACTCAAGGGCCACCAAAACAATCGCGAGATTACTTTGGCTGGCATTCGACAGAGGTGAGTCAGTTGGCCTTGAAGACTCTTGGGTCCACTATCTATAGCTTTTGAGTTCCTTGATTAATACTAACTGTTTCGTTCAATATTAAGAATTTTGCTAAAAATTCTTTGTCGATTTGTAAAAAGTGAAGTATGCATGACTCTGGCAAATCTCTAACTCTTCTGGGTTGATTTGGCCCCAAGGAAGTAGTAGTATTTGGCAGAAGGAAATAGTAAAGGGCAGGCACATTTTGCTGTGAGTGACCCATGGGCTGAGATAAGCATCCTTCAAGGAATGGTCAATACTGCTGATTTTGGAAGCAACTTTAGCCCTGTCACAGGAGGCGAGGCTTTCTCATCTAGTCCAGCTAGATTAAGGAGTCATACAGGGAACAATTAGCACGCACTCACAGATACACATCCTTGAAGAGTTCCGTTTTCTTGGTGCTGCTGCGTGTCCCGTACAGGGCCAGCAAAGGAGTGCTGAAACAGGCTGTATGTTCGAGGGTTGACACATCCCACAACCAGCTGGGGGGGGGAAGCAGTCCCAACGTCCCCCAGCTCTCTGGCATCCACTTCGTCATAGCTGCCCAGGGATGCAGCCTGCACGGTGGGGTGAAAGCATCTGTAGTAAACAACTCTCAGGAGGATGCCAAGCATGTAGCAAGGCAAGGCAACGATGAGGACATGCACCTCGTGCGAGTCCCAGCCCAAGGGCATGTTGTTCCAGATCCACGCACCGGCGAGCAGAGCACTGTCCAGCAAAATGAATGTGTGGTAAATGACTGAGCGATGGAGCGACTTCCCCTCGGCCACATTGAACCAGCAAAAATACAGAATGATGGCCACTACCGCCCGGTAAAGCCTTTCGGAGGCCGCGTGTTCCATGAAGTCGGTGCCTTGCAAGGAAACCCACAGGAACATGGCCAGCCAAACGCCCAGGAAGTGAACATAAATGTAGCTCGGGAAAAGCACAGTGAAGAGGGCCAGGGACAAGATGCGGGGGCACACCAACAGGAAGTTCCACAGGAAATAGAGGAGAGAGCTCAGGAAATCCAGCTTGTGCTTGTCCTGTAGGAAACTGCGCAGGGACTGGTGATAATCCAGGAGGGCCCAGGCAATGCACAGAAAAGAGGTGCAAATTCCAAGTACTGTAACGAGATCAAGGGAGAGAAAGAGGGTAGGAAGAACAGTCTGAGAAAGATACCAGTAAACTTCACACACTGTGCGGGCATTGCTACTACTAGGTGCAAAATGTAGCACCTTGGAGAGGAAAATAGTAGTACGGGAGCACGTTTTTCGTGTCCAGCATGTTCATGTGACATACCATGCAATCTTCTACATATGTCCTCAGAAGTAAGTCCTATTAAATTCAATGGGACTTTTAGGCAAGCGGCATACATACCCACCTGGGAGATGAGTATACTTCTGAGTAGGCAAGACTAGAATCGCACCACAGGCCCTACAGCAATGTCACCACTGTGGACACTCAGTCATGAAGACCACTGGGTAACTTGGGGACAATCATGACCTCCCAGCCTATTTCAAAGTCCTGTTGTGAGGATACAATGCACCTATGAGAACTCTAGGCTGGATCCAGATTCAGCCGTGCTTAAGCAGAGATCCACTGAAGTCTGTGGAATCCAAGTTAGTCCTATGTTAAAATTCACTTAGATTTCAGTAGGTCCGTGTTATGCATAACTAAATCTGGATACAGCCGTAAGCATGCTACCCGTGCTCCTTAAAAGAAAGTCATGAAAAATAAAGAGTAAGTCACAAAAGCAGCATTCATTTGTGGTCAACCAGCGTGTATGTATTTTCTTAATGTTTGCGCATGGGATGTCCGTAAGTCACACGACTTTGCTTTTCTCACCTGTAGTCTAAGTTCTGGCTTTAAACAAATGGAGACTGCAACAAAATGTTGCAGTGTGCAGAGCATCTTTTTAGGATTTTGACACAATTCCATTCTCCTGCCCAATCGGTCAGCATTAATGGTTCCCCATCAATTTTGTGCATTTCCCCACCAAACATTTTGTACGCCTCTACAGAATTTGGCTATGTAAACAATTGCGCTCAGCAGAAATGACAAAGACCCAGTGTGGCATTGTGGTTAAGCGTGAAGAACTGGGATGCAGAAGAACTGGGTGCTAGTTCCCACTGGACCATTAAACTAACTGGATAACTTTGGGCCAGCCACTGCCCCTCAGCCCAATCTACCTCACAGGGTTGTTGTTGTGAGGATAAAATGGAAAGGTGGATAACTTTGTAAGCCCTCTCGGATTCCTTGCAAAGGGAGGAAAGGCAGGAGGAATGCAATGTAATTATAAAAACACAGCAAGTGCCAATGAACTAAGTAAGAGTACATCACATGCATGGAAAAAAAACCCAGCTTCTGCAACCGAACAAGCCAGTCCCACGTGGCTCCCACAGAACACTCACCCTGAAATAGCTCTGCTTTACTTGTGTGTAGGATAACGTAGAGCACCAGCGTGAGTTGAGGGGCACTTTCCAAGAAGGTCTCAAAGAGGCGCAACATGCTGATGTCATGTGACAAGAAAACAACATAGCCCCGCTTGGTCTCTTCCACGGCTTCCTTCCAGCATATGCAGAAGCCCACCTTCAGGACATGGAGACATCTGGACAAGGCAGAACAACACTGTCTAAGCCCTTGTTCTGCACAAGGGAAGGCCAGTGGGGGCAGCTGGATTTCAGCCAGGAATGCCCAGGCTCAGCTCTGCATTGTCCCAAAGTTTACAAGTCACACACTCTCTCAGCCTCACCCACCTCAAAGGATTGCTGTGGAAACAGGCATGGCACTTCCTTTGACAAAGGGTAGCATTAAAAGCAAGAAATGTGATTTTAAAATATAATAAAATGAGGCAACTCAGCATTGTCTGATGGCCTCCTTGGCTTTGTTGGAGAATGTCTCGGGTATCCTGTGCTGCAGATCAGAGGCTGGCTAAGAAACTGAGCTCTGTTTAGGGTGCGGCCAATTCGAGTCCCTCTTCTGCCACAAATTTGTTAGAGGGCCTTCAACAAGCTGAAATGTTAGGTTTTCACATTGTTTCCAAGTGCTGTGTTTTAAAAAAGTGTTAACCAAGCAATCCTCTGTTGTTCTACAGAGAGGTAAGTTCTATTCAATCAAACAGGGCTTAGTCTAAGGTGTGCACAGGATTGCTACCTATATCAACCTTTAATCAACAGTCACCTCCCAGGCTCTGTTTAGGCTAAAAGGTGATTCATCAACCAATAATTATCCCAGAGCCTCACCCTAATAACTTTCTTGGAAACACAGCACATCACCCCAGTAAGCCCTTTACCTGTACAGGTAGCCAAGCTGCAGGATGTGCAAGATGAGCAGGATCCGCCCTGTGAGCACTTCTTGCCTGAGCACTTTGGGGTCGCTCTGGTACCAGAACCAGCTGAAGACCTGCGTCGTCACCGAGGACAGAACCAGGAGCACCAGAACTTGTCCGCCCCAGTAGTAGTGCCCCTCCTTCAGGTAGCTGGCAGCCACCCACAGGTCGGCGCCCAGGTCCAGCAGGAAGGCCACCGTGCCCATCAAGGCAAAGGCCAGGTCCAGGTACCCGTAGCGGGGAGGCCAAGGTGGGAGACAGGTGGGCCCGCAACCTGCCCAGGCCATGACTCGGGAGAGGCGAAAGGAGGGCAGCGTGCCGGAGAGGGGGCAGGATTAGGAGCCGAGCTGGGCCCGCGTCTTGACTCCGGGGGTCTCTCCAGAGAGCCGCCGCTGCGGCTGCTGGTCGTGCCGGGAAGCCGCAAAGGGCCCCTGCGCGGACGGCAACTCTGGAACGAGGCGGCCGAGCGGGAGCGGCACTTTTGCTACACTTCTTTCCACTGCCGCTACTCCGCCGCCCCATAACGCCCCATCGCCGCGCGGGCGGGGAGGGGGCCTGCTTTGCCCCGTGGGGAGACTCCCCGCCCGGCCCGAGTCAGCGCGGGGGCCGCTCCCGGCGCGCTCGCACGAGACCTCGCCACGCCACGCCAAGTCCACGCAGACTGCTCCTTCCCACGGGCTTCTGCGCCGGGCTCTCCTTGCCCTCTGCCGGTCTGCCCCGCGCTGCCCAGGCGGCTTCCTCCCTAGGGCCGGTCACCGCGTCTTCCTCCCGCGCCCCTGACCGCACGCCTGAACGCAGATCCTGCTTTCCTCGACGGCGGGGAAGGGTCGCCTTCTTGCTCGCCCGCCCGCCCGCCGATCTCCATCGCATCCTCGCGCCGGCCACGTCTTCCTCCTCACGCGCTCCATTGCAGCCCAGCCCAGCCCAGCCCAGCCGCCACCTTCTCCCACCCCGGACGGGGCGGCCGCCTTTGCCGCTGCCGGCCGGACTTCGCTCGGGCCGGGCCCGCAAAGCGGCGGAGGAGGCGGGGACCCGACACAAAGTGAGCACGCCCGTTACCCGCCCAGCCAAAGGGGCCGGTCTTCCGTCTCGGGCCCTGCACGGCGTCGGGGCCTGGGAGGAAAGCTTGCCCGCCGGGCGTCCTCGTTCAACCCCGGCCCGTTTAGGCGTGCACTGGGCGTTTCTCCCCGCTGGCTTCCAGGAACCGTTTCGTCTCTCCACCTGCAACTGCTTGGTTTACTGCGATGCAACATTGCACTTGCATCCCGGGCTTCCTGCGAGGAGCTCGGGGGACCGTCCCCCGCCCGCCATTTCATCCCCACGACAACCCTGAGAGGTAGGCTCGGCTGAGAGCGCGTGGGAGAATAACAAGACCTTCACCTGGCACATAAAGGAATACAAAGGAGGCGCCAGGCTCACTCTACAACCAGGGTGCCACAACAGAAAAGGCTCTCCTCTTGGCAACCACCTGCCCCACTTCCTTTGAAAAGGGCCTTTTCACCCCCAAAGATGAATTCAGGGTCTAGGTAGGTTTGAATGTCAACACTAGCACTCTGAATTAGACCTGGACTTCAGCTGACAGCCAATGCAGCTGGAAGAGGACTGGCATAATACGTTTTCATAAGCCAGTCCCCATTAATAGGGTTATTTTAGAAAATGGCCGGAAACTTACTGAGGTGTTCTGCTTGCTTTTTAAAAATTCTTCCAGCTGCCACTGCTGTTGTATTCATTGGCTTTTGGCATTCAATGGCATGGCTGTATTTATAAATAACGACATAATAAATAGGTAAATAACTACAGTTTTCTTGTAAGGAAAACTAGCTTTTTCCTTATAAGGACTCAGAGCAGATCACATAGTTCTCCTTTTCAAAATCTTATCCCCACAACAAACAGCCTGTGACGTAGGTTAGGCTGAGGGTCTGTGACTGGCCCAAAGTCACCCAGTTTTTTTTTCTTGTCATGTTGGATCAAGATCAAATCCAAAGATATCTTAAATTTGCATTTATCTTCATGAATGCATTTAAAATATTTATGCCCTGCATTTTCACAGACATGTTAAAAAGTGGCTTAGAAAAGTCATCAGAATTAAAAAATCCAATCAATCAACAATATAGTGTCACAGCTAAAAATTGCAACAGCAAATAATATGCATCAAAACTAAATATAATTTACTGTTGTCCCATAAGAACAAGAGACTGCCCTTTTCAGCCTTCCAAAATTGGACTACAACCCCCATCACCCCAACCAGCAACAGGATAGATAATTATAGAGAGCCAGTGTGTTATAGTGGTTGGAACTAGACAGTAGTCCATCTAATCCAGTCTCGTGTTTCCTGCTGATTTTCCTTACTGATTGTGTAATAAAGGACCTAATTAAAATTGTTACAACATGAATGTCTTGCCCTGCAATACTTCCCATTGGTTATGGCTTCTGCATCCTGATTTTATATATATGTTCTGAGTCATGTGGTTTTAACTAAAGTTAGAACTTACGTGTGAGGGCTGTTTCTTGCTGATAACGGTTAAAGGGCCACATTCGCCAGATCGAAGGTTGCAATACTGTGCACTGAACACATTGGGACAGATTCTAAGTAAACCCTCTCTTCTACTTTGAATGCAAAAGAAAGAAAGCAAAAGCTTTTGCTTTCATTCCCCCCTCCCACAACTTTTTTTCTTGTTGCATACAGTGTCACAAAATTGTGGGTTTAATTAAACACACACACACTCAAGATCAATCCTGGTTTGCATTCTGGTCTGTTTGATTAAAGTTAAAACATTGTCTGAACCAGGCCTGTTTAAAGCAGAAACAGGTGCTGTCAAACAGTTATCTTTTTTTAAATGGAAAAAGCACAGATGCTTGGATTTTAAAGAACATATTAATTCTCCCCCTTCCCTTGCAGCTCTATGTGGAGAAGCAGTTTTAACTAAGAAATACACGTAACTTTTCCCTTACCGATCCCAAATCACTCTGACATTTGGATTCACTGCTGGTTGTCAGGCTGTCCTTTTGGAACAACCCGTGACAGCTTCCTTTTCTCATGTTTTCATAATCTTTGACCGCCCTTTCCCCGCCCTTCTCTTTCCAGAGCAAACAGAAAGCATTTGCTTTTTGAGACTTTCGGTTACTGCTGTTTCCCAGAAGACATCTTGCATGTCTCCACAAAGGTTGGTCACTGAAGGAGAAGTGTCTTGTTCTGACCGAAGGATCTTGCGTGACACGTACCCAGATGATGTTTCCAGAATCTGGTAACTCATCACCAAAGTATGTGTTTGTGGGAGGGCGGGGAACCTTGCAACTGGCCACCGGTTGCTTTGTTTTTCTTTCAGAAGACCAAGAAAGCAGCTGTTCTCGGCATGAAGGCATCTGCAGCTGTGTTCACATCCTGTGCTTTCTCTGGGCTTGTGTGGAAGCAGTGGAGTCTTGCTTGTGCCCCAGCCTGCTCAGGGATCCCCACAGGCCTAGAGTAATGAGCCCCATCACACAGCCGAATAAGAGGAGGTCCAGCCCCGGGATGGAAGATGCTGCGGTGGCACTTCTGTCTTTGATACACTGGTTGTAGTTAGCAGAGGCAACTTCCCTGATGGCACATATGTGGTCCGTCTGGCAGCTGATATCGCAGTCTGTCAGGTCATACTGGACGGAGTTATACTGATAGTACCGCTGGAGGTGGCCTGAGTCCTTCTCAAGCTTCTCTAGCAGCAGCTGCATGGAGCCGACGGACCCGTCGGGGATCTGGAAAGCTTCCGTCAGGCTGTACTCTTTCTCCCATTGAGGAGCAACCAGGTTAGCTTGGGTGAGGTTTAAATAGTACGTGATCATATCCTAAAGAGAGAGAGAGAGAGAAGGTGTTTGATGGCAATTGAAGAATGAAGCATCCAGCGTTATTTCTTTAAAAGAGGAAGTTGCTATGAAATGGAGTGTTCCAGCCAGGAGGCCTCCTTGCCCAGGCCCGGCGATCAAATTCAGCACTCTGCTCTGTGAGCATGTTAGGTTTTCACTGGGCTAGTTTGGATGAGGGAAGGGGGTTGAAACGTTTTTGAACTGTACTCTGCTTTCCAGCCAAAGTGGCTTGCAACCATTTCAATCCAACACAGAGATACAACGTATTAGGCCTATGTAGAAGTGTTGATGGGGTCTCTCCTGCCTCTGGCAGGTGTTGTCAGGATCTTGCCTCTTTATTCTCCCTCCACCCCAGCCCCTCTTTTGGTAGAAATCACACCTCAGTGGCAGTACAAGCGCTGCAAGATCCAAATCGAATCAAAGTCTTTATTACAGCCTCAGACCAGCATGACAAGGTTCAGATGCTTGCAAGATCCAAATATTAATGTCAGACAAAGCAATACACAACACAAAAGGGGGATGTGCAACTTTTAGCAGAAAAGCAGCACTAGGGGGGAAAGAACTAGGAACTGTTGGTTTCATCAGAAAATGTAAGCTACTGCACACAGAAGTCTCTTCCAGAAGGGGCACATGGTTAGGTGACTCCAAACACTGACTTTCTGGAGATAAAATACAAAATTCTTCCCTACCTTTACCAGCAGGGTATCATGGTCATAGGTAAACACTCGAATGCCAGGGTTGTTGGCTCCGTTGTGCACACCTGGTAGAGTTGTCTTCCAGGGCGTTACAGCTGGAGCTAAAAACATGACACTGATAGGGGCACCTGAAAGGAAAGGCCAAACAAAATGTGAGTAAGGTGCAAATGCACACAACCACCGCCTTTATCCTGAGGGCTGCTGACCCAATACCTTCTGCCACTGTGCGATGCCTGATGTTTGGCTGCACAGCAGCCACGATCAAAGCTTTGCACTTATCACGCAACAGCTACTCTAGGCCAATGCGGAGCAGAGGACCAAGTGTCCGACTGGGAACGGGGCCATTCAGGTTAGCAGCTTAGGGCCAGGTTCATGGGCACTTGGATCCCCACCTCCATTGGGCAGGGTCTTCTAAAGCCCTTTGCAACGTTTCAGGACTCTTGAGGAGCTGCTAATGGAAAGAAGTACAGGGAAGTCCTCTTTTTTCAGTGCAGTTCATCCAGCATAAATCTGGATCCAAACCATTGCTATTATTTATGTTCTTTTTTATTATTTTGAATAACGATCTTTCGGAATCTGCCGAAATGGAGCATAAAAATAGTCCTGCAAACCACAAAGGATCTCTAAACTCAGCAAGATCAACAGAATTGCACCTGTGTTACTGTAGAACATCCTAAAACTATCGGTGTGATGATGTCCAAAAAACTGTGCCACAACCACGTCGTGGTGCTTCCGAATGATTTCGGTGTATCTCTGGTTGAAGTGCTCTCGGAACCAGGCCTTGCCTCGCTTCTTTTCAAAGAAGCCAGGAGGGACATGACCAATAATATAGACCTGTAAAGGGAAAGAGATGAAGAGAAATATATTAGGGTTTAAAAGACAGGTTACTGGGATCACAGACTTGGCTATAAAATCTTGCTCAGCCAAATACCCTTTGGGTAGCCACATTCTAATTAACTACCCCTCAGCCTCAGCTTTTCAACAGTATTACGGGAATAACAGTGCTCTGCCTCCCTTTCCCTGCCCCAACTCTTAAAACTAGAGCTGAAACCACCAATTAAGGACATTTTAATCAAAGGTGTCTATGAATGCAATTAGCATATTTTGTATAAGGGCAAAAAAAAAATTTGGATGCAAGATGCATTATTTACTTAGTTTCTACATGACCCACGTGTGTGTCAAAGCAGAGCATCATCTTAGAAGAGGCATTCCCTCATGTGTCATGCAGAAACAGGAATGCCTCCTTGAAGCTGGCACTCAAACAATAGTTTTATAAGTGCTTATACAAGGACAGAAATATATATAAATACATCTGCTGCCTGATTTAATCTGAATCACCTTTTCTAGCAAGTAGAAAGCCTTTAAAGTTAGTTAATCTAGTTCAGGTGGGAAGCTTGTAGCCCTGTAGATGTTGGACTACAACTCCCATAAGTCTTGGTCATTGGCCATACTGGCTGGGGTTGAAGAGTCTTGGAGTCCAACAGCATCTGGAAGGCTCCCCACCTCTGATCCAGCTGATCATTCAGTTAAACACTGCAGCTCCATTTAAAATATTTTGCAAGGGGTGCAGAGTTCCCTCACCCGGTATTTACGATGGCAGCTCCTCTTTCACAGAGAATACATTTCACAGTCAAGTAAAGGATGCCTCCTTCAGTCCATTGGCCGTTTCCCCACCATTAGCTTTATACAGTTTGGAGCAATTTCCTGAAAAATGACCCCAGTCCCTGGTGAGCCCTTACAACATTTGCCCAAGCCCTCCAATGGGTAAGCTTTACAATCCATTCTAAAAAGACAGATGATGAAAGAAACCTTCTCTTTTGCTTTTGACGCCCTGCTCAGGGTATCTTGCAGCCATTGGAACTGGCCTCCCGGATCTTCCAGGCTGATGGTTTGATTGTTGTTTTCATAGTACAAGTTTGTGTTGAGGACAACCATGCGCCTTGCTGGGCCAGGACCGGGCAGCATCTGAGTGTAGAAAGCAGCTGCAAAATGCATGGTTGAGTCAGTTCGATCTACATTTCTGTTTTCTGCAGCGAAGTATAAAAGGACTTAGGTGTGGGCTTAGTTCCGGGGTGCATGACCATCTTTCTGTGGGCGACTCTCTTACATCATGAACCATTTGTTTTCAGCATTGGTCAGGGCCAAAGGGGTGGGCCAAAACCCAAAGCAGGTGGGTCACCTCTTTCCCCTTTCTGCTGCCCCCTTTTTACCGCTTCCATTTTCCACCCACTGGACAGTCAAATAGTGAGGCAACTCCTCAACTCAGTCCTGAAATAAACCGAATGAAATTTCGGATTTGCAGCCCGGATCCACATTTCTTGAACTGACTATGGAAATGAAGAAGCCACTTCTGAGGTTTTTAGCTTTGCTTTTCAACATGAGTTATTTCATGTTTTTAATTTTAAATTGTAAGAAGGGTGCCAAAAGGCCATTTATAGATATCCAAATAAATAAACAGATACACAAATCTTGCAAGCGTTTCCTTTTTAAGTTATTCATAGTAGTTTTGAAGAAAAATTCCTCCAGACCCTGTTTTACACTTAAGTTGTAGCAAAGAGCACCCCTGACAACCATAAAGGTGTGATGCTATCCAGATGGAAAATCGTAGCTTCCTCGGAACCAGATGGATACACTGGATGTGGGCTTTCCGGACTCCTGAAGCTCCCCAGCTGGTTCTAGCAGACAGAGAGTGACACACACACCTGCTCTGAATGTCTTCACAGAGTGGTTGTTGAGCCAAGGGCTCCACAAGTCCGCTGTTGCATTGTAGACCCTGTTCTCCTTGGCTGGAAGCTGACTTTTGGGGTGGAAGTCATGGTTGCCCATTGCTGGATAGACCTGCGTATCTGGAAGTTATTGGGCAAAAGTGAATACAGTGTGGTAGGTAAAGGGGCACAAGAAACAGTTTTGCACAAGAAACAGTTTTGTATCTGAACAGGCTGGACCAGGATTAGCACAGCCTTGCCCAGCCTGGTATCGCCAGATGTCTTGGACTACAACTCCCAGCATTTCTAATGAATGGCTGTGTTGGCTGGAATGGATGAGTTGCACTGCAAAACATCTGAAAAGACCAGCTTGGAAAAGATGCCCTTGGCATAATCAAGTAAGTGGGTGGTTGTAACCCGCTGCAGAAAGACAGTCCCAGGAGGGGCTGGGAGGTTGTTCCACTGGTGCTGTTATTCCGGGGTCTTCATAGAAACGGATGATAAAGAATAGCAGGGAAATGCAGACAAAGAACGTCTGCAGCAACGAACAGGTCACCAAGTACATGCTCAGACAGCATTTCTCTCCACCCAAGTCTGTTGTTGGAACACTGCCACCCGTCTTCAAGCAGTCTGCTGGGCAACCCACACTACCAACACCATCCCCAGCGTGCAACCTCATTTTCTTGCCAGATAGTTCCCATGTAGGGGTCCCACCCAGACTTAAACCTCAATGCCAACAAGACCAGGGGTTCGTCTAGTTCTGTTCACAGAGCCCAAACAACTCCCACAATCCTGGGCTATGCTATGGCTGAATTTATGTCAGCTTTACAAACCGAAGATTGTGGACAGGGTGCCAAACCAGGATATCAAACCACTGTTTCAAGCTGGCTTGCAAACCATGGCTTGTGCTTATTATTTAGTTAGTTAGTTAGTTAGTTTAAAGCTTTTATAAACCATCCATTTACTGATGTCTCAGGACGGTTTATTATGGTTTGCCATTATGTCTGAATTTCCAAATCTTGGACAAACCACAGTTAAGATCATTAAGAGGCTGCCCTACTGTGGGGACAAATGAATGTATGGACCTGTTGAAGCTAAATGCTGAACACATGAAAAGCAAAAGGAGATAAGCACCTCTGAGTCATGGCTTCCCAGCTGTACATCTGGAAGCTCAAATCATGGCATGGCAGCTCCACTATGGTCACCATAAACTATGGCTTGGCATGAACTCTGAACTGTGACAGACTTTTTCTACCTCAGGCTCTTAATCTCTGTATCTTTCTAGTTTTGTCAGGAAACAAGAGCAGAACTCTATACAAAGAGCTTTTCCTTTGCTGCTTTTCCACTACTTAACCTCTAGGTGAAGCTGTCCTATAGCGTATATACAAAAGTATTTTTTTTTTTTTATTTCTAGCATAAATACACCAGTAGTTCTTTTGCCCTCCCATTTCCTGCACTGTAAATAAAAACCTCAGGAAAGTACCCCTGAAAACCAGAAACGGAACTGAAAGCTCACGCCATTCTCTATAGAAGCCATAAACGCCTGCTGAGTAAGGAAACATGAATGGCTCATGTAGAAAGCTCACAGTTTCACCCACCAGAGTGAGGGAGGGATGCAGCTGTCCCCAAAAGAAAACTGATAATGGCTTATGTAAAACCCACCTGCCCCTTTGCCACGGGAATAATGGTGGGGGGGGGGCAATTTAGGATTCAAATTACATTCTGTAAAGTAAGCAGATGTAGACAAAGCACAGAAGCCAATTCATTTTACTAACACAGAATGTCCACAATGCCACCTGTACTTGCTGGTTCCTGTCTTGCATATTCTTGAATGTCCTCAGAGAATCATAGTAGAGTTGGAAGGGGCCATGAAGGCCACTGGGTCCAGCCCCCTGCTGTTTCAGGACACCAATTTGCACCATCCCACTCCAGTGGCTGCCCAGTTTCTCCTTGAATGTCTCCAGTTGGGAGAGCCCCCCACCCCTCTAGGCAGCTGGTTCCACGGTCATATTGCTCTGACAGTGAGGAAGCTTTTCCTGATGTCCAGGCTGAATCTGAGTTGTCGCAACTCGCATGGATTATTCTGTGTCCTACACTCTGGCAATGAACTGCATTCAATGAACTGCATTCTCCTCAGTGAACGACATTCTCCAGTCTTGCTCCATTGCTCAGATACCATTGAAGGAACACAGTGTTTTCCTCCAATCTGGAAAATAAATCTCTCTTCCTGAAATGTGGCACTCACTGCATCTGGCTCCGGCCTTCCTTCCACCCAATACTTCTGGCACACCCTTACCTGGAAAGACACGTTTAATCAGGTTGGTTAGCTTTTCAATTATCTCCAACACAGCTTCCTCACCCAGCTTCTCATTAGGCACATGAGGTGTGTCATCCCTGGAAAAGAGCATAAATGCCATTCAACTGAACCCATGGCTCGAAGGCGCCGACACTGGGCAAAGACCATGTCTCTGGCTAGATGACTCACGCGCCAACTATTTCAATATGGGATAGGTGCAGTGATCATCTTTTAAAATGGTGGGCAAAATTAGGCTAATGGAGGGGAGTCTGCAGAAAGAGCAGAAGGAAACAGCAGATCACACCAAGATTTGGTGCTTCTTTTGCGCTCAGGTACACCGTTTCTAGCCGCCGTGTCAAAAGCACATACAACTCTGCTCCTGTCTCAAGGTACAGCTACTCAAGGAGAACGTGGCCATCTCTACTGCATACACCCTGTGGCCTAGGGATCAAATCCAGTTCTAGAGTTCCCTGGACGGCCATGCCCTCTTTTTCCTGGCTCCGCCCTCTTTTCCCTCAGCCTCCAATCAATGAGTGATTCCTTGGCTTTTCTGCAGACTTTTCTCCCCATCCTAAAAAGTTCAAATGCCTTTACTAAGAATCAATTGCTTGCGGTAAAAACATGAAGCTGAAATGATCTGGTATGTGTTGTCTTTTGGGCCCGAACCCCTTGCCTTTGGCCCCAGAGACCCTGAGTTGCTCCAAATCTGAATTCAGCCCTTGAGCTAGAAGAGGGCTCTCATGCCTGATGTCTTTAATTTTGTCTGAGGACTAGGATCATGTTTCCACTTTTTTCTCACCCTTCACATGCAGACACGTATAGCTGTCAGACTCTTAAGCTAGAGTCACAGTGCCATGCAAGAACTAACTGGGTTCAAAGGGGGAATGAGTAAAGGGATTATACTTGGGTATATGAGAGCCAGTGTGGTGTAATGGTTAAGTGTGCAGGTCTGGGACTCGGGGGCAACCTGGGTTCTAGTCCCCACTTGGCTGTGCAGCCAAATGGGTGACTTTGGACCAGCCACAAAAACTCTGGGTTGTTGTAGGGATAAAATCCAGAGCAGGAGGAAGAAAATGATGTGAGCTGCTTCGAGTTTAAGAAAAAAATAAATCTAATAAATGAGCATCAAATACATACAAGATATTCTTAGCTAGGTCTACTTGCTTTTTCTCCCAAGATTTAACATGCCCAGATTTGCTATGTATAGAGCTCACACAGGAAGGGCATTTCCCCCCTGCACAGTTTGCCGTCATTTGGTATTTAGATGGAGACTGACCATCCAAGCTGTTGCACAACAGACCAAGGCATCGTCACTGTGTGCCCATTTCACCTGCATCACCACTGGGGAATTGGGAGTTCAGCAACGAGGATGCTGGTTTCCTTTCAGCTTTGATCTCTATCACTTCTCACACAGACCTATAGTCTTAAGGCACCATCCCACGCCATCTAGACAACAAAGGCTGGGGTACGCTGGGAGTTGTAGGCCTCTTCTCGGCCTAAACACACACAGAACTGTATCCTTAGAGTCTGCTCTGCAGTTGCTCTGTGGTCCTGTTCTCTACCTGAGCAGTCCGGCTACTGCTTTTGTCTGTGCCGTCCTGCACGCACGGCCATCTAGAGAGAATTAACAGTCAGGGTTTCCCATCTAAGATGCCATACTTAATAAACCTTCCCACCTGCCCTTTCTCCAACATTCTGCTACAGCCTGTGCCTAAATCTCTGCTTAAAGAGCATGATGATAATGGGGGGCTTTCATGCAAATTGTTGCTGTCGTTATTTTCCCGACACTGAGATACACCGCATATGAGATTCAAGCACCACAGGGTCATTCCAATGTGCCCAGTCTGCTAACAGCAAACTTCTAACAGGGTTCTTCAACAAATATAACCCAACTCAAATGGAAAAAGGAATGGACACACACACACACAGTGCTTTGAAAATAGACCCACCCAAATGATTAGCTTGTATTTGCCTGCTAGGAGGGGAGTCACTTTCCTGTCGCATGGGCTCTGCGTTTGGAGAGGAGGAAGCTCCTTCCTCTGCAGCCAGCGTGGAAATGCCAGCTACGGCTTCTTAGTGGCTTAGCGTAGCTTTTCAAAGCCCTCTACCAGTCTTCTGCCAGCACTGCTTTTCGGTGCTCCTTGCAGAGGAGGGGTCCCACCCCTCTCAACCACGCCCCCGCCATTCATTTCCCAGCGTGGAATTCCACCCACATTCCTGCATGGAGAAGAGCTACCAGGCAAGCTGTGCAGTACAAGGCCACATCATGCTCGCTCTGGTTTTGCATGAGACACGGATGCCTTACCCAGTCCAAAGAATGAAGTCTGGGTTTGGGAGGATTGTCTTCATGGCGTAAATGGAAGAGTTGACCAGGCCCCAGGGAGCATCGCACAGGTAATTGCCCCAAGCCCCTGCATTGACCACTGGCTGGGTGCCAGCAGACGGGCACACCTTCAAGGGGTCTGGTGTCGGTTGGTACTGCGGCTCCAGATGGAGGTCTGTGACGTGCCAAAAGGAACCTGCTAAAGAAAGAACACGCTGAGGGATTGGTTCTGCTTTTGCTTTGGCAACTATTAGGTCAAGAGCTGAGCTCAGCAAGAGGGAGGCTGAAAACCTCCGACGGGGCAAGATGGTTCATGAAGCTCCTAAGCGAAAATTGAGCATGACTGACACCACCCAAAGTCATGTTTGCTTCTTGATTCTGTAGAAGGTTTGGCCCTCTTCCTCTCCAGAACAGGAACTGTTTCCCTCAACAGAGAAGTGCCATTTTAGGGAAACTCTTCACCTACCACTTTTCAGCCCGCCTGCCATATTGTTGTTGAAGCCATGGCCCCTGTTTTGGGAGAAGGGTGGGGCAATTTAAGCAGCACCAAGGCCAAAACAAGAAGCAAGCAGTGGGACTATTTTTATGCGTGTTTTGTATGTGTCTATCAGTCTATCCTAACTTGGTGTCTTCCATAATATTTGGACTACAATTCCCTCAGCCCCAGCTAGCATGGCAAATGGTGAGGGAAGATACGAGTTGAAATCCAAATTAGGGAGTGCGCAAAGAACCTAGCTACATCATCCAGCAATGATCATTGGTTTATTTATTTTCGAGGCAACCCCGACTTTTGACCAAATGCACTCCTAAAACATCATGTGGAAGAAAAAACAAACAGTTCAGCTGGACTCCGAAGGCCACCAGGCTGGGGAAGGCTGGTGTTTGTGTACGCCTGTTTGTGTGCATGCATAATTTGGGGATTTTTGGTGTTATTTATGTCTGAAATGCACGTGTGCACACAAACATATTTAAGTGAGGAAGCAAATGGGCCAGACATGCTGTAGCCAGTGTTGCACAAGGACCCAGGCAGACTAGGATTCAAATCCCCACCCAGTCATGGAGTTCACTGGTGACCTTGGACCTCATACATTGTGAGGATTAAGCCCTGAGGGCAGGAAGAAAATAATGCGCATTGCCCTGAATAACGTAAAGGAAGGTTGGGCTCAAAAACGAACAGTGCAATCCTCTGTGGGCTTAGACAGGAAGGCTGGGGAACTGTAGCTCACTTTTGTCTGTTTAAGCATGCATAAGATCATACCAGAACCTATGCTAAAGATCCTCTGCAGGGAGAAAGGGTGAGACTATCCGGAGCAGGACAACAACAGTCTGGCTTTCAGGAGCTTAACGCTTCTCATGGCGTGGAGATGAGCATTAATTCCCTGGCAAAAGCTTCGGGCTGAACTGCTGTGAGATGGACAGGTAGAAGGACCAGCGTGGAAGCAGGTAGCTTTAGGAGTACCTACGAGCTCCAGTGCCAATTTCTGAAGGATGGGATGGGGGCATGGTGGGAGTCCAGGCTAGGGCACTTGGTGCTGTCTACTCCGGTTGATGATGGCTCTCTGGGGGCTTTTGCAAGGCTTTGTAAAAGCTGCTTCTTGAGATAACAAGAATTGCCCAGTGGTTCTTCTTCAGTTTATGAATTCCCCAGTCCCAACCCCATCTTCATCCTGATCAGCTTTCTCTGCAGCTGGCATGGAACCTTCCCTCCTCTGGTGAGGGAACCTTCATTCACCATGCACGGGTTGCTGCTCGGCTTTCACTACCAGGCAAGCTGTTCAACACAAGACTGAGCTCAACAGAGGCAGCAGGATTTCCCGAGTGCCAAGCAGTGTGCACACGCCACTAACACAGGGCTCTGCACAATGAATGGCAGCAACATCCTAAATTTCCTGTTTGGACTTAGCTAGAGCTTGGCTGTGTGCAGTGGAATCTGGGCTCAAAGGAAAACGCTGCCAGCACTTCCTTATTAGCAGCCATGTAGTTTTCATTTATCACCCACCTCAGCCTTTCCTGCTCTCTCTGAGCTTAGCTGCAATTCTGACAGTGGTTGGGGAGGAAAGAGTATCTCAGCAAGAGTATCTTGGTGTGGTCTTGGAGGAACAAAGCCCATGAACTGTACACCACTGCCCGTGGTGGAGGTGGAAACTGCCAGAACTGGTTTGCTGAGATGAATCAACACAGCAGCCTACACGTTTTGGGCTTTCCTTGGGGGAGATTTCTATGGAGGCTGCCATGGTAAGTGCCTGCGCCTCAATATTTATCCCTTCACCCTTGGCCCAGCCAATTTCTCCATTCCCCATAAAGATGCCACCACTCTTGTCCTATTTGGTTTCCTCCTCACAACCATGCTGTGCCTCAGTGTTGAAGGGCTGTCCTTACTGCCTGGTCACCTGTGGGGCAGGGCAGCAGAGTCCTCCACCAGCCGTCTTCCAGAGTCCCCAGACATCCCCATCTTCCTGTGTCCCCTAATCTAGCCTGCTGCCCTCTGGTGCTGTGGAGGACTGTGCCTTCTCTTCAGTGCTGCAACATGACACAAATGCCAGCTGAGCAGCTTCTAGACTTGTATCTCCAGCTGCCCATAGGCTACCCAAGGAAACCACAAGCAGGACATGGGTACGACAGCACCTTCTGGCCACGTTCCCCAGCAACGGACATACATAGGCCTGTTGCCTCTGATACTGGAGGCAGCTTAGAGCAATCAGGCCTGGTTTCACAGAAAGCCTTCCCTGACATGAAGCGTCCAATCCCCTTTCAAAGGCACCCAAGTTGGAGGTCATCACTGCATCTTGCTTGAGTGAATTCTACAGCCTACCTAGGTGCTGGGTGAAGAAGTCCTTCTATCTGTCCCGAGTCCCACACCAATAAGCTTCATGGGACAGCCCTAGGTTCAGAGAGGGAGAAAGAGCTCTCCACCCCTTGCTACCTGACAGGCAGAGAGCCCAGGAGCAAGCCAGCAGCAGCATCTCTTGCTCCTTCTCATCACCTCCAGTATCTTGGCCACAGAAAGAGGTGGGAGAACAAGCAGATTGCAATAGTGAAGGGGAACAGAAAGTCCAGGGGGCTCCCACTGGGTCCTGAGCTCTTGGCAGGTGCCCAGCCATACCTGCCCCTGGCCTGCTCTGCAACCATGAACCTACCAAGCCTGATTTGCAAAGCAAGCTGCCTTCCAGCCTGAAATCCCATGACTGGATGGCACTCCTTCAGACAACCAACTCCCTTAGCAAAAGCGAGACCTACCTGAGGCAGCGGTGATGGCTCTGCAGTGCATCAAAAGCAAAAGGGCTCTCCAAAGAGCCATCCCTGTGAAAAAGCTTCACTGCCAGCGATCGCCAGCCACCGTTTCACTTTGCCTTCTGTAGCTGCAGCTGTGGGGAATGTCAGCCAGTCCACTTTACGTGTGCCTTTCCGGGATCACTGAGTCACGGGTTGTGATGCAACTCCACTTGGCATCAAAACGGTAGCAGCTCGCCTCGCGGAGAAGTCCTTGTGCTATTTCTGAAGGGTGTGCAAAACTCGCAGGGTTAGTACACAGAAGCTACTAGCTGAAATTCAAAAGGCCACAGGCTTCTTTTAAATTTTAATCTAGTACTCCAGGGACATGAGTCAAGGAAATAAACCCTTTGTTGATTCAGCAAAACAAAGTTGGCTTGCTTCTTATTGATGGCAAACATCCACAAGGCCAGGTTTGTGCAGGAGAAAGTTGAAATTCTGTCCCAAATCAAACTGAAACAAAAACATGTTGCAATAAAGCCAGATGGAACATTTTAAGAATTCTGGGGCTACTCTGGAAGTGGTCTACCCCATCTGAACCTACACATTTTTTCTTTTCAGGATAAAGCTAGTGTGGGGGGGGGGGCGGGATTCTCTAGGGTTGAGGCTAAAGCTGTCTGTATACATATACAAACTCCCCATTACATAAACTGTTCTTGTAGAATGACAGATTTGTGCTTTTAAATTTTTTTTTTCAAAAATAAGCAGGGCACAAATGAATGGAGAAAGGCATGAAAGTCCAGGTAGATTTTTAGTTTTAATATACACGGAGGGGGAAAAGAATGAAAACTGCCTTGAAGATTGGCCAGAGGCATGAAAACATGTAGGCATGACTTTATAGATGAGCAGGCCAAGGTTCCTTGCCTGCTAAAGGGTTCATCCATTTCTTAGGGTGCAATCCTATGCATGTTTAAACAGTTGCAGGCCTTATCGCTAAAGAGACACTGCAATATTAAGCAGACTTTTTTGGCATGTCTTCCGCTTTCTCTTTGTCAGTTGTGTTTGCCAAGTATAGCCATACAGTGTCTTGCCAGTCCCATTAACATACACAACTAAAACGGGGGCAGGAAGGATTCAGCCCCGATGTCTAAAGCAGGGCTAGGGAACCATGCCCTTGGACCAGCATGGCCAATAGCTATGAGTGATGGGAACTGTAGTCCAACAACTTCCAGAGAGTAGAAGCTTCCCTAGCTCTGCTAAATAACAGGACAAGCCAAGCCCACCCCCTAATTAACAGGCCTGCTTGCTTCATTCCTGCATCCTTCATGCATCTTTTCTTATTTTTATACAACTTTCTAGAGGCTGTAGTTCCTCTTTCAAGAATACATATCTAGCTTGGCTTTTTTCTTTGAAGTGTTAAGAGCAACAACATGCCCATTGCTGCCCCCCTCACACCCCACTGCACCCACCTTTTCTTTGAGACAAGGCTTATTGTCAGATAAATAGTGTTGCTGTCTGGAATCCAAAGGCCATACGGAATCCAGAAAACAAGGCAATAAACAAGTACCTTTGTCCCAATGCTAATAAACAAGAGATATTGCCAAGATGCAGCAGTAATTGTCATTTTGATTAAGTCAGCACAATTGTAAAGAGGTCGGATAGGTGTGTGACAAAATATAGCGGCAACATATACCGGCAAAATAGGCCACTACGCAAGGCTGTGTTTGGCTTGGTGGGTCATACAGTAATTGCACATGCCTAACTTTGACAAATACAGCATCAGGCCTTAAATGAGTTTTGTTCCTTTTTTGTGAAAATGTGGGCTCATCCTCCCTGTCCCCTGTGCTTTACTGTAATTAAGTCAAAGTATGCAAAATTTAAATAAATATGTTCCTCCCTGACTTAGAGATGCCACAGTTTCCCTCCTCCTCTGTTCCTCGTGTGAGTCCCTTTTAGCCCCTTGGAGTGGGGACTTTTTATTATTCCCTATTCTTTATGAAGTGTGATGCATGTAAGTGGTTGCTAGATGCATAAATAAGTTAATAATAATAATTGATCTGACATTTTGTGGGTGTTTGGATTGGAGAAAGAGAAAAAAAAGAGGCTTCACACCATGGACAAGCAAATGGTCTTTTTTGTGCACTACCAATAGCAAAGTCTTTAAATGAGGTGTACAACTCCCTTCATTTCAGTCCCCAGAGATTAATCCAGTCCAAAATGCATCAGCTGGGAAATATCCTCATCATCCTCTTACTTAACAATGTCTGACACTGTTGTCTTCCACACATCTATCAGTTCTTTGTTGTAAATCACCCAGAGAGCTTCCATTGCTGCAGTATAGAAATAAAATAATAGTAATAAAAAAACCTCTTCCTTTACACAGGCCATTACCCATGTGTTATGACAGTATGTTATAAAGATCAGTTGCACAGCTTGTAGGAGAAAATCTTTCTATTTAGCACTCCACTCCATATTCATCTTGGTTGGGGGGGTGCTGTGGTACCTCTGTCACATACAATACAGGCTTTCTCAACAATTTCTCTGGATTCAACAGTGTTGGTTACCAAGGAAGTAAATGAACTCGTACACCCTAGATCTTGGCTTACACTACAGTCTTCCAGTTTTGCTTAAAATAAAATTAAGAATTGGTATTTAGTTTTAGAATCCATCTGTGACTTTTATGCAGCTTTCACATTGCCTTCATTCCAGTAGGATGGCTCCCTGCCACAAGGGGAAGGGCTCTTTTGCAGAAAGACTTCAGCTTAGTGATAAGATCACCTCCTTTGCAGGTGGAAAGTCCCCATTACATTCCCTGGACTAGCCAGTTAAAACAAAGATAATCAGGGAACAGGTAACGTAACAAGTCATCATTTGCCTGAGACTCTGCCACCAGTGAGACCAGGTTAGATGTATAAATTGCCTGCCTAATAAAAGTCATCTATGTTCTTTTCAGTTTCTCCTTGCCTGGGAGGGTGTTCCCATTCCTCTGTAATATGTGGCTTTGCCCACTCTGAAATCCCATTGTTGCTTATCCTTTCTGATGCTAGGCCTGGTCCGAACAATGTTTCCACCAGCAGTTTATTTTAAGTACTAAATCAACACTTAGGCTAGCAAGATACATAATGCTGTTACCAGCAGATAGCAGCGGCATAAGGCCACCACGGAACAGCTCAGGGAGGTCCCAATCAGCTTTACTTAAAACAGAACCTTCAAATGCAAAATATAAAATGCAGACGATGTGAGAGCCATGTGGTATTGGACAAGGACTCGGATCCATGGAAAGTGGTACTAGTGGCCATGAAACTCACTGGGTGACTTTGGGCCAGTCACACTCAGTCTAACCTATTTCACAGGGTTGTTGTTGAAAGAGTAACATGAAGAGAACAGGAAAGACCATGTAAGCCTGCTTGGTTCCCTGGCACGGAACAAGGCGGGATAGAATAAATGAAAAAATATGATCTTGCAGAACATGATCAATACGGGCAAGCGGCACGTGGGAGGGCCCCATCTGCTTTGATCCTGGGGCACTCTGCCTGCAAAGCATGAGCTGCGCCATTAAGCCAGGATCCCTTTGCTCCGCTACCGGTAAGTATCACTTTAACTCCTGCACGGAGAGTCAAGCGCAACTGAGGCGGCCTGCATGCAACCCGTCCCTGGCCTTGCAGCCCTGCCCAGGCGTAATGAAAACCTAGCAGGCTCCCCGTACACGTGGGAACAGCATCGGTGCCCCGCCTCTCCGCCCCAACCTTACGTCACACCGTAGCTCCGCCCACAGGTTCCCGACACTTCTGCTTGGCTGCAGAAGAAACAGGAAGTAAGTCCCTCCACTCGGCTTGGAAGGGCCAATCGAAGCCTCCATTTCCCGGTCTCGTAAACGTCTGCGGGTGAACACAGAGATAAGAAAGAGTACCATGCCCAACTCATATCCTAAAATTTCCCTTTGGAAGCGATCTACGGCGGAAAGTAGAACTGCGCATACGAAAGAAAACTTTCATCACATGTTTATAGATGCTATTCTTCCTCAAAGTTTCCTTTTTCTCTCCCATTTTTACCGAGAGCAAGGCAGAGCATAAACGCAGATCACACTCTGCAAGTTTCCACTGGACTTAATGTGACTAAGTTCTGAACAGGTTTGCCCAGGAGCGCACTGAGACCCTTCACCGCAGAAAAGACTCCATTAAACTTAGTGGGGCTTATTTACGAGTGGCTGCAGATAGGATAGGATTGCGCTATTTACCAAATCCACGAACACAAAGGAAAATCATTTTGTTGGTACTGGCTTCATGGAGTTTCCTGGGGCTTGCTTCTGAATACTGCATTGTTCGTTCAGAAACGCCAAGACACGAGAAGTTCGATCGTACCATACCTCTGCTGGGTTATCCCATCCCGCAAGCATTCTTTTCCCCCAGTGACCGACCAAATATTATAAGGGTGTACGCCTAAACATGTTATGCATGTTCACCTCCCAGTGGTAGACCTTATTTCTGTCTAAGCATGCAAAGGATTGCACCCTAAACCACAGGGGGTTGATTCTGAAAAAAGGGGGCCTTTTACAGCAGTTCCCATCTATTTAGAATCAAGCTCGATTAAGTCCAGGGATGCTGATGCCCTGGTAAGTATGCATAGAAATGCAGCCGAAGGAAGCAGGCGTCACGATTAGTAGTCAGTGATAGCCTCATTATCCTTCATGAACTGGTCTCATCCCCCTTTAAGTCGTCCAAATCGTCTGGTCATCACAACTATCATTTATGGATCGCTGGAATTCCTGGCTGGGGAAACGCGGGGAGGTATTTATAGGGCTTTTCCCCGCACAGGACCATGCGCACGGTAGCACCGCCTGCAGCACAACCCTATGCTTGTTTCCTCGGATGCAGGACGCTTTCTGCTCAGCGAGGCTTACTCTTGGCTGGGGAATGCTGCCATCTGTAGCACTTCGTTTCTTTTCCTGTCCAAACATGCACCGAGTTTCACGCCTGCAGCCCGATCCTGGGCACGCCTACTCAGAAGTAAGAGCCTCTTCCTCCCAGGTCAGGGCGCAAAGACCCCGCAGCCTGCATGGCGCTCGGACCGCCCCTGCTCGCCCGGCACGCGTCGCCACGGAGCAGGAGGCGGCGGCGGCGCGCGGCTGGCCTATCCGGAGCGAGCCCGGTGCTCGCGCGCGCTCCGCCGACCCGGCAGAGCAAGCGGGCGAGCGGGAAAGGGGCGGGCGCGCGGCAGGGCGCGAGTCGTGCGAACGGAGGAGCGGGCGGGTGCGCGCGCGGGTGCGTGCCGACGGGCCTCGAGGCGCTGCCGAAGCCTTGTGCGCTGATCCGCGCTTCCGCTCCCGCTCCCGAGCATGTGGTCCGGTTACGGTGAGCGCCGGCGTTCGTGCGGCAAGGCTGCGTGGAAGTGGCAGTGGCAGTGGCTGGCCACGCACCACGAGGGGTTCCCCCGATGGGAAGGGGAGAGGCGGAAGGGGAAGGGGAAGAGGCACTCCTGGCCCCATCGCACCACCGCCCCGAATCCCCACGGGGATCTTTTGGCTAGACGGGTTGCTTGCGGGCCTGTTGCCGACGCTGTGTCGGAGGGAAAACGACAAGCCCCAGGGTACTTGGGGGAGAGGGGAAGGGGGAGAAGATCGGAGGGGCTTCCTCGTTGAAGGGCCCCTTCTCCTCCTCCCGGTGCTGTTTGCCCGTTTACTTGCTCGCCCTCTCGGCCTGGCCTGATCTGCTCACCCCCCTGGAGGGACAGAGCCAGAGCCAGTGTGGGGCCGTGTGTTGAGCAGGGACTAGAGATCTGGGTTCTAGACTCCCGCCTGGACCTACCTCACAGGGTTCTTGTGCAGATAAAATGGAGAGGAGGCTTGTTTAAGCCACCTGGGGTTCCTTGCCAGAGAACAAAGGTGGGCATAAAATCAATATAGTACTACTAGTAGTAGTAATAATAATAGCTAAACAGCTGGGATGCTGGTGCGTCTCTTCCCTTTGTGACCCCGGCTCCCTTTCTCACTTAAAAGGAGCAGGGAAGTGGACAGGAGGCAGTAGTCGAGGGAAGGGCAGAATAAGCACAGGGACAGGACAGGCCATGGCCCTCGCACCCACCGAGGCTCGTGCGGATTTATTTATTTAAAACGTGTTTATGCCATCCTCATGCGTGGCATCTCAGGATGGCTTACAAACATTAAAATCAAAAACAGACAATACAAATATAAAACAATATATAGCCAATAAAAATAAATTGAGCAACTGATTAAAAAGTATTAAAATGTTAATCTTTAAAATAACACTTAAATAAAAAGGTTTTGACCTGGCGCTGAAAAGAATATAAGCTTAGTGCCAGGCGAACCTCTCCGGGGAGTGCATTTCACAATCTAATTTAATTGAGGGCTTCAAGCCAAGATGAGAAGGGCCTGGCCAGGAGCTGCAGCATTCAGTTAGCTGCATTAGCTGTGGGGCCCAGTGGGACAGGGGGAATGAAGATGCAGTTGCTGCCCATGGTTCTAGGCCACGCTGGATTAGACCAGAGGCCCATGGTGGCAAATCAGCTGTCCACACAATCCCTCTAAATGGGATGGCTGCAAGACCTCCTGCCCAAGCTCCTCAGCAACTGGTTTATGCAAGCATGCCACCTCTGGTAAAGGAAGTAGCAACTAGCCAGCAAGGCTAGTAGTCACTGATAGCCTCCTCCTCCACGAATCTGTCCAGTTGCCTTTTAAAGCCATCCAGATTGCTGCCAAAATCATTTCCTGTGTCAGCAAATTCCATAGTTTAGCTGTACATTGTGTGAAGTTCTTAATGGAGTGGAGTCCTAAAGGGATTTTTAAAAGTACCACCTGCACTACTGGGGAACCTCCATGCTTCATTTCTGATTGACTTGCAGGGCTGGAAGGAATAGTTGCCAGGGTGGTGCTGGAAAGCTAACTGCAAGGGCAAATGTGGGACCTCACATGACCAGGGGTTTCCTGGCACTGGCTGTGGACGGTGCCAGGAATTTGACTGTGTGGGTCTTGCCAGTGCCAATGCTGCCAACCCCTAAACCTGTGGGCAAGGTCCGGATTACCCTTTTGTACCAAGCTACTCTTATGTAATATGAATTGAAATCTTCCTATGTCCAGAGAGCTGAAGTCAAACACACAGGCAAGAGAAACATATCAGGAAATCCAGGGTAACAAGGTGTACAGATCTCCAAAACATCTTTAGTGGAAAAATACTGAAAAAAAGTCCCAGGGCTCCCTTATAGTAACCGAGGCAATGTAGCAAGATTTTATTTCAGGACCCCAGCTTGTTTTTAACAATATAGTGTTCATTTGGGTTTCTCAGCAGCTGTAATAAATGTCTTGTGGTTTTTATCCCTCCCAAAAGAATAATTTCTTCTATGGCTCTTCCTTGAGTGATCTGGGCAACTTTCGCTCCCCAGTTTAAGAGTCCAGAGATTGAATAACGTGAAAATAATTTTGCTAATTGTTTGGGCCATTGTTATTTCAACTATATTCCTAGGTGGCTATGACGGTGGCTTTGGAGGTGGAGGATATTCACAGTCTCCTGGAGGGTTTGCATCACCTTCTGCACCCCAAGATGAAAGGAAATTGGTATGTAGCTTGTGTGAAATACACCAGGACTCTCCTGCACTGTTTGAGGGGTTCTTGGGATGGCGGGCGCTCAGCTTCTGACTGGGTTTAGATATTGATGTTCTTTCTTGAGGAGGAAATACCAGGTCCACTCGATCCTTCTGTTTCCCCCACTGTGACACATATGCTTGTTTGCTTTCTGGGTAACAAGTAAATGTTTGTAATAACCAGGACAAGAAAAATCCAAGTGTTTAGTACTTAGGAGTTTGAGTGCTTTATTTGGTCCAGATAGAAATAGCCTCATTCATCTGGAAAGACGTGGGACATTGTTTTGAATGGAGGTAGTCTGTAATTCATATTTCAGGAATTCTTTCCAGACTCAGTTACATTTGTACTGTATGGATAATATTAATTATGTTCATTTACACTGATGAATGTGAGCATAGCAGTTCAACCATGAGGATGAGTTAGACTGTTGCTTAGAAGGAACACATTATTTGCTCTAAGGCTTCATATTGTCCTATTTTTATTTTTCATACTGAAGCAAAACTACTTCCTTTAGCTGGATAATGCTGTTTTCTCTTTTGAAAAGGAAAGTTCTTGAAGATTCAGTATTTTAAAATTTCCTCTTTGCAGAGGTCAAGAACACAAAATATTGTTCCTTGTACAGCGTCCCAGTTATTTTCTGCAGAACAAGTGGATGAGACCTTCAGAGTCCGAGAAGTTGAGCTCTCACAGGTAAATTGGCCGGCTATTCTGCTGCATATGCTTTGGTTTGGGGACATCTGTGCATGGATTGTTAGAGCCATCCGGTCTACTTTTGCAAAATAATACTTAAATTGGCTATTTCATTTCCAGTGTGAAACACACTCTTCACTGATTGGGGTGAACTATTATCTATTGCAGTTATATTCATTTGTGGGTATTAATTACTACATGTGGCAATTGGGTAAGATATTGAGCAAGATTACCTTAGGTTGTTTTTTAGTCTTTTGACTCCGTGTGAAATTTCTCTGTACAGGTCGCTGTTGTGGGCATAATCAGACATGCAGAAAAAGCACCAACAAACATTCTCTACAAAGTGGATGACATGACCGCAGCCCCGCTGGATGTGAGGCAGTGGATTGACACCGATGTAAATATCGATTGGGTTTTGGTATAAACAGACACTCAGGGTGGTGTAATGGTGGGAGCTGGGCTAGGCTGCTCAGCTGCCACGGGCAACCTTAGGCTGATCACTAGCTCAGCCTAACCTTTTGTGAGGACTAAATGATGCTGAGCAGGATGGAACAGTGCTAAACCTTTCTGGGTTGGCATGGAATACCTTACAAAGACTTCAGCCCTCAGCCGCTCCCACGGGGCTTGCAAAGTCAATAGCACCCTACCTACTCCTTCCCAATCCAGCATAACTGGGGCACAGTGAGAATAGATTGCATATAATGGTAGCTAAAACACTTCTAAACCAATCTGATTACCAAATGGTATTAGCATTGCTAGGAAAGACCAAGAAATCATTGTTATATTCTCTCCCCACCTTTTTTTTTTTTTTTTAAGGAGGAAGGCCGCGAGAACGTTGTGGTCCCACCGGGGACGTATGTGAAAGTGTCTGGTCATCTGCGATCTTTCCAGGTAAGAGTAATGGAAATGGGGACTTTGTAGAGTTGTCATTTAGTTCCATACCTTTGCTGAATACAAGAGCATCCATCACTAATATTCCCCTTCCCATTACCTCTCTCCCACAAAAAGAGACTAAAGGCATGGTCCTATGCTGGTTTAGTCAGGGAAGAGGTGTTTGTCTCCCAGGATGCCTTAGCCACTAATTCTTTTTTCAGTCTACGCTTGCCTAGGATTGGGCCTAAACTTGCCATCTAGAAACCTGTTCATTTTCTGTAGCACTCAAACAAATGTGAAAGTGGAAATAGTTGTATCTTGGTTTGTGCTCTTGCAAAATCAGTCCTGGTCACTTAATTTGAAAGTATGTTTCTTCCTGATTTAGAATTGGACTATACTAAGTTTATCAATACATAGTCTTTAACATTAGTGGAAAATCTGCTTCCTAGGTTTAACAATACAAAATGTAAGGGGGAAAAATTAAAACACAGCATCCTAAAATTTAGCTAATAATAAAACCCCAATGAAAAGAGTCAGGTCTTAAAACATTGGGAAAATAAAAAAGTTTTGGCCTGGTGCCAAAAAGAATAAAGTGGCAGCACCAGGCAAACCTCTCTGGGGAGTGAATTCCGCAATTGGGGTGCCACCACAGAGAAGGCCCTTCTCCGGGTAGTCATCCTCCTAATCTCCAGGGCACCTGGAGAAGGGCGTCTGCCCCAGATCTTAAGGGGCAGGTAGTCACATATGGAAGGAGACTGTGCGAGAAATAAAAGGGTTCTTCAGCCATTGTTTTTGAAAAGCAAATGCAATGGTCAGGGAACATGTTTATATTAAATAATGTTTTCCTCCTTATAAGTAACATTAATGTTTGGCACTCATTGTAAAAAGTATGCCTCTGGGCCATCATTATTCAAGAATATTCTGCTTCCTTTCTGACAGAACAAAAAGAGCCTGGTTGCATTCAAGATTGCGCCACTGGAGGATATGAATGAGTTCACCACACACCTGCTTGAAGTCGTCAATGCACACATGATCCTCAAAAGGGGCAACCTGGTATGTGTTGAAATTAGGTACGCACTAACCTTTCCCTGAAGAAGACCAGTCCCAGGGCAGGCAAAAGTTAAGCAGCGGAACAGCCCCTTTCCTTTTGGGAGGCTTCCTGCCCCAGATATGGTCTGCAAAGGCCACAATAGTTATCTTTTTTATTAGTGCTGTGTTGGGTAGTTCTGTCCTCAAGGTGATGCGGGTCTGCTGAATTGGCTGCTGTAACATACAAACATATATAACATACAACATATTTGTATGTAACTTACAAAGTTGTTCATTCCCTGTGATGGCAAAGTAGATGGTGAGCTAGAAAGCGATTGGTGGAGAGATTCGGCCCTGTTATGGGGTGGCGGGCACTCGAGAAGCCTCTGTTGCAGAGGCTGGCAGACTGGAGCCGTTGTGCTGCCCATGAAAGGACAGGACGTCGCTCCGCAAGACCCCATTGCCTAGTTAATGAGTAGGGGAGATAAGTTAGGCCTTTAATATTTTAAAGATTTTATTAAGATTTTAAACTAATACTAAAGACATCAGTCATCAAATACATCGGACGTACTGGGTCAGCCCCCTACTACATATCTTTTAACATTCTATAGTCATATTCAAATCCATTTTTAATAACTTAAAAACATCATTAATTCTAAGCCAAGTCCCGTTTCTCCAGCCAATAATAAAAAAAATCCCAAGTTTGATAGAAGTCAGTATCTTCTTTCTCCTTCAGTGATAAGGTCAATCTATCCATTTCTGCACAGTCCAGAATTTTTTTGGAATCAGTTCATCGGTGGGTAATTCCTCACTTTTCCAGTGTTGAGCAAATGCAGTCCTCACCGCTGTGATTACATGTAACATCAAATACATTTCTTGTTGGCTAATAACTTCTGGTATAATGCCTAATAAGAAAACTTCAGGTTTAAAAGCTAAGGGTTTTTGTAGCATTTCCTCAAGCCATTTATGTATTTTAATCCAATACTTTTTCACCTTAGGCCTTTATTATTTTACCTGAAGGTGTGCATCAAAGAAGCCTGCACACTGCATTGGATTTATATCCCTTTCCTCACCAATTCTCCTCCCCTTCTTAATACCTTCACTTCTTTTTGTTTGAAATAAACGTTCTGTAATTACCTTAAACTTGCTCCATTCACTGCTAAGTTCAACTGGCCCACACTGACTGGATGTTTTATCTTTTGTTTTATGCTGGCGTGCTCCAGTACTGGGTGGTAGTTAACCCCCCTGGGTTTGGGCCCCAGAGTATCCAGGAAGCTTTTCTCTGCCTTGGGATTCCATGGATAATCGAGGGAAGGGTTGATCATCACAGCCTGCTGCTGATCTTGATCTTGATCTTGCCTACCTGGAGAGCAGTTTATTGTTCTTCCCTCCAGAAGGGCAGTGAAGGGGGACCTTGGCACATTTGAACAGAGGAAAGGCCTGCGGTTCCCAGCATGCCCCAGGCAATATGGCTGGCTTAAGGCATGAAGGAAATCGTGAACCTTTTCTCTGTCCCAGCGTTCACAGGCCTGTACTGTAAAACATTTTTTAACTGTGGAGAAAATGAACCATGTAGAAAGCTTTCGCAAACAGGAAACCTGTACTGGTATAGCTGACTTGGCTCTAATTCAGCAGTGCAACCAACATTCGACGAGTTCTTCCAGCATCTTGGATTTGCTTGTCTTCTCCTTTCTCTCAAGCCTGGTATTTTGTAAAATATGTTTTCAGCATTATGCAGTTGCAATAGTCGGTGGTTGTTTTTCTTCCTTTATTGTAGCCTACATCTACAAAGACGCCTCAGTCATTCAGTTTGTTGGGGATGAACAGCATGCCAAGCGGAGGAGGAACTGATGCGCTGCCAGTGAGTGGCCTTTCCCCACTCCAGACTCAGGTGTGTGTGCAGGGCATGCATACTTGTACTCCTTCTGTGGTTGCTCCGTCTGCGGGTTCTTACTGCTTTTTATACTGAGAGTGAGATCCTAGCTTGGAACCTCCTCACCTGTAGCTAGTATGTATGTATGTATGTATTTATTTATTAAAACATTTTTATGCTGCCCCATTCGCCGAAGCCTCGGGGCGGCTCACATCACTAAGTTAAAATAATTACAATATAAATTAAAAATATAAATATTAAATTAAAAATACAATACAGTATAAAATAAGCCGCCCTGGCCAGATAAAACGAATAATGTTAACAGTTAAAATGCCGCTTGAATAAAAAGGTCTTCGCCTGGCGCCGAAAAACAAATAACAAATTCCTTGGCTCTTAACAGTTTCTTTCTTGGGAATTTTCCACACAGCCCGATTCTAATTACACTGGCACAGAATTCTAAAGTGACATTCTGGGTGTCACCACTTGCTGGAGAATTCCCTGATGGGCAAAAACGAAACCCGAAGGGTACTGATCCTCTTTCATTCTAAGAAACAAATTCCATTTTAGACAATCTCTCCTGGGGCTGCGTTCCCACTGGGGCCCTGGACACCGTTCTTTTCCAGGAAGAGGGAAGTTAGCACAGAATGCATTAAATTGTGACAGTGGAGTTATAATCTTCAAGCTTTGCTCCATCTTTGTTTTGTGTACATTGTTGCTTCATCAGATAACTTTGGAATAACATCTACTAAGTGTTCATGAATAGGTGTCAAAAATGTGCAGTCTCTAAGGAACCCATAAATCTCTTAGAGAAGTTGGTGATGAGAATTTATTTCCGTAACTGTTTGTGTTGATTTTTAATTATACTGCAAACTTTCGCTATGAGAATTTGAACATAGTTTTGCTACACATGTACTTAGAATTTCATAGTTATGCTCATCTTGGCTTCATCACATTTTATTTATTATTTTATTATTTTTATTTATTAAGTGTGTTTCTCTAAGCAGTTGAATTAGCAATGTGAAGAATCTCTCCTCTTTGCTGTTTACATTTTATTAACTCTGAATGTTTGCTTTTTTCAAGGTCCTGAATTTGATTAAAAGCTGCCCGACAACTGAGGGAATATGTCTTCAAGATCTGAAGTCGCAGTTGCATAGTATTAATCTACAGACCCTCAAGTACGTGCATATAGACAGCTTGGGTTTTCAGAAGGCAAACTATCCCCGTGTTAAAGACATACAAGAGAAGAAATGGTTAATCTTTATTCCATGTTATAGTGATAAATGATGTCAAATCCTTTTAAATCTGAAACCAGGATATGCTGAAGGCAGGATTACTGTAACTTCCAGAGGAAGACTTTGTCTTTCAGCATTGCACTGGTCTACAACAGTAGAAAAGGAAGGTTAATTGTCGTTTGCCAGCACTCCGCAATTCCCAGTGAGCCAGCTAAGGCCTTTTAGCTGCTGTAGTTTTTGCAGAAAGTTGCTGGACTAGGTGGCCTTTAGTTTGATGCAGTAAGGTGCTATTTTGTGTTCTTAACTAAGGCTGCATAATCATTGATTCTAACTTAACTGCCAAAGAGGTCCTGAGTGCGCAGTTCGTGTTTTGTGAAATGAATGCCTTCTGGTGGACCACAGGGACTCTCAGGAAAAACAGCAGTGCATGACCCGAGAGGGGGACAGTGCTGAAGAAGTGATCTTATCTCAGACTCCATTAGGTTGCTTCTACATTAGGTGTTAGCCATCTCTAAAGTCAGTTGGCTGCAGTAACCAGGGTTCAGAAATTAACAAGTCCTTGGAACTGGCTGGAATCCTAGTACTGCCTCCCATTTCTTGTTCCATGATTCTGACAGAGGTAGGAGTCATGGCTTCTGTCAGCATTCCAGTTGGCACTTTTTATTTGCTGTAGAATTTAGAGGGGAACCCTTTTTTGGCAGGACCTTTTTCTTCAGTCTTTTTCAGTAAACCGAGAAACATAGCACATGTAATTTTTCCATAGACATGTCTGGCTAACAAGGTGGGATATAAATCCAATAAACAAACAAGCAAATAAATAATCGATCTGTTCCAAGGCCTCGGCCTTCTGAGGTGGTAGGCAAGTGGTGTTGTTTTTTCTTCTGGTTTGGGGGAATCCAACTCTTATTTTGTGATTCTTTGCATCTTGAATTCCTACTTGAGGAATTCCTACTTGAGACCACTTGAGGTGGTCTTTTAGTGAACCGAAGGCTGTTCTTGGTGTCCCTACTCCAGAGAATGCAACAAGAGCATAGCCTGTACCTCTGAATCCCCTTCCTCCAGGGTTTTTGGATGTATCCAGTGAGGAATGCTATCCTTATCTCTGGCTTTTCCCATTGGGCCTAGTCTTCCTCGTGCTAGAACAGTTTCTCAGTTCTTCAAAACTACTTCTAGGGGGAATTGACAGTATTTAACAAAATTCCAGTGGGGTTGGGAAACATGGTGCTCTTTTTGCCCTTGAACAGCAGTTTATCTTTCGCTCTTCTCCTCCCCATCCCTGCCCAAAATACACCTTTATTCCCGCTGAAAAGAAGAATGCATTGGTCAAGAGGGAGGGTAATAAAGCGCTGAAGAAATCTATTAAATGGCAACCAGATTTTTTTTTCTTTCATCTAGGAAAGCTGTTGAATTTCTTAGCAGCGAGGGACATATCTATTCCACCATCGATGATGAACACTTTAAATCTACAGATGACGACTAAGACCTGCTTCAGGCATAATTATTGAGCATAATGCTTTGTTAGACTAAGACCCTGACATTTGAACCAGGCATAACATCATTTCTGAAGACGACTGCTGTGGACTGCGGAAAGTGACTTTTGCACACCGCTGTGCCAGTGAGTTGCCATGACTAGAAATTGCCTCTTTCCACCTCATTCTATAGCTAAAATAATCATCCAAATATGTAGGACTATTTTTATTATTACTAAAAACACCTGCTCACCACTGCCCTGTGGTGCAGGATGGCCTTATTTCGGAAAACATGTAGTACCTCAATAAAGCTATTTTGATTTTTGCATCAGTTTTCAATTCCTTTGACTAGGAATATTGTATCATATGGTTTTAGACAGCTTAGGTAGGGCATCTAGGCTACTGCCATGCCATGCCCTGTATTTTAGTTAAGTTTAGATTTTATTTTATTATTTCAATAGCATGCAACAGCCAAAGTTTCCTGGGCAGTTCACTGTAAGTCACAGTGCCTGCTGTGGGATCATTTCCTGTTGGGGAAAAGGCAGGATAGAAATGGAAGGAAAGAAAGAACTAGTTGCTTACTCTTCATGCTTGTCTTTTGGATTGATTCCATTAGAGGTTATACTTGAAGAAGTGGTTAAGTTTTACTTGAGTGGCATTAAAACACACACACACATGGTGACAACACAGACTTTGTATTTGGACTCCAATAAAGATAAGACCAACAAGGTAGTTTCCACTGGTGTGACTTAAAATGTAGTTTACAAACGCCTATTCAGTCCAGGCTGGAAGTTTAACGATCAGGGAAGATGTGTGCTAAAAGTAAGCCCTTGTCAACATGCAATACCAATGCAGTGAAAACCTGCAGTTTTGAAATGGGCAGGCTTCTACAGAAACCCTGAACATCTTTATGTAAGTAGTCCAGCATAGCTTGTTAGAGGACAGGACTAGCACCTTGATTAGGACTGCAGAATCTCACAGGCCCTGCTTATTTTCATTAAATGCAGCTTTTGGGCTAGGAATACACCCCTAGGTGTTCTGACAGCATGCTGAGGTCACTGTGTGGCGTTCTGAGTAGCTGCCTTGATCTTAACTTTGTTTATTCGATGAAGCAGGAAACTACTAAAAAATCCTTTTTGTTGCCAACATTAAGTGTACAAAGGACATGACATTTTCCTTATTTCTTGGATCACCGGCAGTTTTGTTTCTGCTAGGCCTCCAGCTGGAACCAGGCTTGCTTTAACCGATGCTTCACTACCAAGTATGAGAACTGCAGCAGAGCAGCTAGATTCTAAAGGAAGTTGCACATTCTGGAGAAAGGGGAAATGGTTCAAATATGCGAGCTTTGGCAAACCACAGTTTCTCTCAGCCATTGTCTCGAAAGCAAGGCCACTGCTTCTTGTCAAAATAATGAAGAAAAAGTGAATCTGCAACTCCTTTTCTGACAGTAGGGAGATAGGAAGAAGGGCAAAACCAGGCCTGTAGCTTGGTAGACAAAAGTCTCAGTGTTTAATAGCAGCTCTTTGCATTTTGCAAGCAATTTTTTCTATCTTGTCAACTTCTTCATAGTCATGGTCAGGATCATTACTGGAAGATGTATCTGTAACAAAAAAAAGTAGTTAAAATATTCATAGCCCACTTTTCTGCACCTGCAGCCATTAAGGTGCAGTACAGCAATAAAAGAAATGTATTTCAAAAGATCATTAAGCAACAGGCTCTAGCAGAACAGCAGTGAAAGAAATTGGGAACCACTAGTGCTATAGCTTCATGTCACTCATACTCCCCAGCATCCTGTCTCTGATGGTGGAGGTAAAATACAGTTAACTAGTAGTCACATGTAGCTGTATTCTCCATATATTTGCCTAATCCCCTTTTAAACCATCAAAATTGGTGACTCACATCTTGTGGTAAAGATCCTTTTTTCTTGTCCTTTATGGGATGATTATAGGAGAGAGCAAAAACTATCAACTTTCTCCGCTCCATGCATAATTTTGTACCCTGCTATCTGCCCGGTTAGTCACCTTTTTTCTAAGCTGCAGTATCCCAGCCATTGTAGCTGCTAGGTTATTGAAAAGCGCAGGGACAAACACCTTGAATGGAAAAACAAGGCAACAGAACTTTATTAAGAAACAGGTGAGCCAAGGTAATCTGGGTATACACCTGTAGAGAGAGGATGCAAGAAAGAAGCTCTACCAAACCCACACACAACACTTCTATTGTATTTCATTTCCACTTACTAATTTCATTGTTAACCTCTTTCTACTCCCTTAGGTGTCCCTTACTAGTCTAGGAATTTTATCTCCAGATACCAAGATGCCCAGAGAGAAATCAAAGTGCATTCTTGACCCTTCCTTGCCTCAGTTGTTACCAACGTCTTCACAACTTCCAGCTGAGTCACTATCTAAATTACTCAGCCGGGGTAATTTCTTTCTTCCAGCATAGCCTTTCCCCATAAGGAAGTTGCTCCAGTCCTGGATCCTCTTGTGTGCTCTTTTCTAACTCTTGCGTGTTCTTTCCCCCTGCAGGACCCCTCTGATATTTGGGCTTCCTTTACTGCAAGGGAATCAGGGTTGTAAGGGAAGAACCAATCCTACCTGTGACTTGTTTGGTGGGCTGCTGTCTCCACTGAAGCTCATAATTTATGCTGTACTGGTTTGGATTCCTCCTGATACCCCAGCCTTTGCTTATTTTCTCGGGTCCAGGGCTCAGTTGATCTGCAGGATTTTGAGACACCTGCCTTGAATTGCCAGAAAGCAGCGGCTGCAGGAAAACAACAGAAAAGATTATTCCAAAGGCAATTCGGATTTAGAGATGCTAGCAAAAACGCGATCCTCAGAGGTCTGTTGAGAGCCTGTCAATGGTGCTGGTGGGAAATCTGCTGCGATTTTGCTATGACCGCATTTTTGGAAGGCTGCTGAAGAGGGAAGCAGCCAGCCCTGGAACAATCGGCAGCCTGTTGCATGTAGAACAGAAGCAGGAAGACTTGGTCTTAGGGATCCACTTTATTTTTGTTTTGTTTTCCCTAAAACATAGAAGTCTGTTAACGGATGGCGGGTGCAAAGTAGTAGTATTTATATTAGTGCAAAGTCTGTACCCAAGAACTTGTGTTGAGCAGAGTAGCAAAACTGGGCAGACCTCAGATCTTCCACGCAAACATTTACTCCTGGTTACTCCACGTTTTCATTGTTCAGCAGTAGAATGCAGCTAGGAAGTCCCTTTGCTGCTACTGCTGAGTAACTGAGACTTGCCTATCTACTGAAGATCACCTAGAGTTACATTCATTCACTCATACAGATACATGTCCTGTGCGAGCAATTTGGGAACCAGTTAACCCTCCCCTCCAGAGGTGGTGCTAGGGTGCAGCTCACTAGGACTAAAGCCCTGAATCTTTGGAGTGCCTCTGTCCACCACCCTGCTGCTCACGGGCACTTGCTGGAATAAAAGAACAGGGTGCTTTTTGATCCCTGTTGCATCTGATCTCCCTGGATTGGCCGGCCTTTTGCCTCTGCTGCTCTCTCACGGGCCAAGTTTGGGCACCTGCCCCCAACCCCACTTCCAGCGCACCATCAAAAGCACTGGCCAAATTGGCTAGGGGAGGGCTCTCTTAAGGTCTCGCACATGTGAGGGACGGACCGGCTGCCCTTCTCCGGGTAGCTACCCTTCTAATTTCCTTCAAAGAGGGCTCCTGGAGAAGGACCTCAGCCTCAGATCTCAAGGGGCGGGCGGGCGGGCTGGCGGGCAAGCTGAGTGCAAGTGCCTTGCCTCAGCCCAGTCCTCCCATCCCCATTCTGGCTTGACTAGACTTCTCACCAGCAAAGAAAGGGCAAGCTGCCCTCCTGCATTCGGGAGAAAGATGCTTTTGCGGGTGCTGAGCTGGGGGGGCGGCCATGCACCAGGGCATGTTTTGTCCAAGCAGGAGTGAGGAGGGTGGGCCCACTCTCTTGGAGAGAAATCTGTTTGACAACAGCAGGGAAGGGAGAACCGGGCCATGAACAGGTATGTGAGGGGATGTCACACGGAGATGGGTAGAGCCCTGTTCTCCCCTGCAGAGGAAGGCAGGACGCGCTCCAACAGAGCAAGGCTCAGGGAGCCAAGGTTCCATTTGGATGCCAGGAAGCACTTCCTGACAGTCAGGACCCCGAGGGTGTGGAATGGGCTTCCACGGGAGGTGGTTGAGGCCCCATCGGTGAGGGTGTTCAAAGATAGGATGAACATGCTCATGGTGAGCATGTCATGAGCGGAGCCGGCTGGTGCCAGAGGTCAGACTAGATGGCCCGGGAGGTCCCTTCTGACTCGCTCTGTTTCTATGAAGGGGTGCTCTGTCCTCAGCACATCACAGTCCAGGATCCCCTTCCTTGCTCCATTTAGAATCACAGAATCATGGAATAGTAGAGTTGGACGGCGCCATGAAGGCCACCGGGTCCAATCCCCTGCTGTTGCAGAACACCATGTTATACCATCCTGTACAGCTGATAGTTCTTTTTTTCCTGTGACTAAGAAACATCTTTAAGCCACAGAGACCAGGAAGTTTGAGAGACTCTGAAAACCACAGCTTAAGTTTTGAAACCACAACTTCAGTTCTGAAAATTCCATTCTTATAATAGTCATGAGACAGTCTGACAATGTAGAAAAATCTAATAATCTAACCAAAAGCAATTATGATGAATACCCGAAATAAATGTGAAGCTCCTTTCATCAAGGGGCAATGTCTCATCCTTTCCTGCCTTTCTTCTCTAATGCTGCAATTTGGTTGTTTTTGTAGTGTACAACGAAAATGAGCATTCAAAAATATGCAAGCAGCAACCAAACCAAATTTAGCCATATATCCCTGAAATGTAACTCTCACCATTCTACGCTGCTTACCCACATGGGCACTTCTGACCTACAAAAGAATCTCGAACCAGTCATAAGCAACATCAACTACTTGGAAACATTCCTGAAACAGAAGGTAATTAGTAGGACCATCTACAGACCAGACACACCTCACAGGACAAGATTTCATCAGGGTATTCAAATTGTGCATCATGTGTATCAAAGTAATGACACGGGTATCAACCTCACTCTTTGAAAAAGCGTTCAATGGTTGAAGCAAATGGGAAAGGGACACTGCAGGCCCACCTCTGGGATAACGTTCCACCTTAAATAAAGGCCAGCCACAGCCTTTAATGAGCATCTTTTATTCTCCTCCAAGCAACAACATGGAATGTGGGTTTCCAACGGTAGCCTGCCAATCCAAAATGTAATCTGCAGCTCCTGGGGCCCCCTTCACTGATGGAGCTCAGAAGGCTGTGGGTGGCATCTGCCATTTTAATTCCCTGCTTCTGATGCCCAAGCATAGTGTCATCTCAGAGCAACACCATGTGAGGGAATTAAAATGGCGGCCGCCATAACTGTATCTGCTTGCTAGGCCAATGTTATTTTTCCTTGCTGTTGTTTGTACCTGCCAGCCAACACCCTCTCCTTAAGGGGTGGGGAGAAGAGGCACCACCACTGCCCAAAAGCCTAGAAAGAAGGGGGTGCTGAAGGAAACAGAGGGAGAAATGCCTCCTTTAAGATGCTCACCATCCATCCATTTCTAAGGAAATATCAATTTTAAAATGAAAAATGTTTGTTTAGAAACATGGCATTTGAACAGTCTGGAGCATCTTTTGAAGTCCATCAGAAGATTTAAAATCTTGCATTCCAGGTTTTCCAGATTATGTTGGATTCTACCCCACCCTCTGGACCACTAGCCATACAAGCCCGACAGTCTCTAAGGGCCCAAGTGCAAGAACCAATGGGAGGAACACCCATTACAACCCATATATTGCTGCTTCCCTATTGTTACTCTACATTATGCCTATTTATTGCTCCACTTCTTCCCCATTTCTGTGGCCTGATACCTTAAAGACTTCTGCTGAACTCTTTCCTTCCGGGGTTTTCTGGGGACACTTGTTGAGTCTGGACTCCCCTCGCTTTGGAGGTCTTGGTGGTGCTGGGGTATTGCTGGGCAGCTCCTTTAGCAAATTATAATAAAAGGCCTCCGTCAGCTCTTCTACACTCGGGATGCTGCTACAAGGTGCTGGCTTCATTGGGTTCATGGTGAGGAAGACAGACATGTCCATCCAGCGGGGAGGGATCTCAAAGGCGAGATGAGGCTCCTCAGCCAGGCTCGCCGTCAGAAACGGTGCATGGACCTGGGCCTCCAAGGTCAGCACTGAGCAGCTGCTGAGAAGGTTAGGTACACAGTCACTGGCCATCACTTTGACCTCACAAGGCAGTTGGAAATCTTCTATTGCCTCATCCAGGCTGTATCTTCTACTGTCACGGACGTCCTCCACAAAGCCAGCATCCAAGAAGAGCGGCACACAGATCTGCTCCTTGTCTTCGTCTCCGTTGTCTCTCCAGCACACGAGCACGTCCCTGGCCGAAAGATCGCCGGCTCTCTCCAGGCTCAGCACCTCTAGCCGGTCCCCCACACTGAACAGAGGAAACTCTCCATCCCCGTTCTCATAGTCCCTGGTGACCACCACCTGCAGTGTCTTGCCTGTGGCCAAGCTGAGGGCCAATTCTGAAGTGGAGGAGAATTTGCGTGGGCGTCGGCGGAAGAGGCCCTTGCAATGGCTGGAGATGAGGAAGTGGCAGGTCCCCGACTTTCCTTTACTGGATGAGGCCAGGATCTTTCGTGATGCCGTCTTGCGGTGGATGTGAATCCGGCAGCCCTTCCGGAGGTAGGAAGCCCAGCTGCTTTGGAAGACTGGAAGCCCCTTAGGGCCCTCAAGGAGCTCGGCCTCCATTGGCAGCAAACTCTCCATCTCCAGGATCTCACTCAGCATCAGAGGCTTAATGAAATGAACGTTTTGTGATTCTTCAGTGACGTCCACCACTTCGACATCCAGCGCTGAGTCAATTTTCACAACATCATTTCGAACTAGAGGGAGAAGGGCAATAACGCCATAGAAGATAAAGTCAACCAGTCACAATTTGCCAAAATAAAAGAGAGGAAGCACATCAGCAAAAAGTACGACTGCCTGGCGACAGTGACACACGCGCTGGTGACTTCCCGCCTTGACTTCTGTAACGCGCTTTACGTGGGGCTACCCTTGAAGACGGTCCGGATACTTCAGTTGGTTCAGAATAGAGCTGCCAGGCTGCTGACAGGGACTGGGCGTTATGCTCACATGACTCCAGTCCTCCGTCAGCTTCACTGGCTTCCCATTGAAGTCCGGGCCCAATTCAAGGTGTTGGTGATGACCTATAAAGCCCTAAACGGCTTGGGTCCTGGTTACCTGAAGGAGCGCTTACATCCATATATGCCCGCCCGGCCCTTGAGATCTGCAGAAGAGGCCCTTCTCCGGGAACCCTCCGTGAAAGAAATTAGGAGGGTAAGTACTCAGAGGAGGGCTTTCTCTGCGGTGGCGCCCAATCTATGGAATGTGCTCCCCAGAGAGGTCCGCCTGGTGCCGTCGTTATTTGTTTTTCGGCGCCAGGCGAAGACCTTTTTATTTAAGCATCATTTTAATTGTTAACAGTATTTGCTTATTTTATCTGGCCAGGGTGACTTATTTTATATTGTTATTTATTTTATATTGTTATTTTTATATTGTTATTTTTGTATTTTACTTCATGTTGTGAGCCGCCCCGAGGCTTCAGCGAATGGGGCGGCATAGAAAAGTTTTAATAAATAAATAAATAAAAAGTGAGTGATGATATTAATTGCAAGTGCTAATTTATATGTACATATTCAGATTTAGAAATAACTATTTATTTTAACTAGAAATGCAGTCCATCTCACTGTGTGTCCATCTCAAATCTAAACTGTGGACAGGGAAAATTCTTACGGTTTATTATCTTTAAACAGAAACTGGATATACTTCCAAGGATCATCCTTCTTCTTTCAGCACCTTTTCCAACAGAGGACTGTTCTTTGTTGTAGAAGACACATGGCCACCCTAAGATGCCTATGAACATGAATATGCAGAAGTGTCCTCTCCAGAAAAATGGGAGACGGAGTTGGAAGGTGGTTGATTTGATTGATTGATTGATTTTCCATTGGTGCCCGTATTTATGACTTCTCTTCAACCCTAGCGATGTCTGTCCGGTGCCTTCTAGGCAGAGTAAGGTCTCGCTGTCTCAAGAAGATTTCAGGAGTGATGCAAAGGCAGTCAATGGTTAATTATTTGGGAATCATTGTATGAATTGTGTCTGTGTTCTTTCTAAGCTGCTGAAATGGGAGACGTATGAATGTATTTAATTTTATTGATTGGGAGCCGTCCTGAGATGCCATGCATAAGGGACAGAGTATAAATGTTTTAAATAAATAAATAAATAAATAATATTGCATTCTGTTTAAATAATAATGCAAATTTCTAACTGTGCACCTATACGCAGGTTAGCACATGACCTTCTGGACATCAACCTCCTCTCTGTCTTCTTTGATGGCACAGTTCCTCTTTTTTGCAAGGGCGGGGTGCAACAGAAGACTGGATAACAACATTATGCAAATCTATACAACCACACTCAGGAATCTGTTCTGTTCTGGGAACTGAATCTAAGAAAGGGAAGTGGCGTAGCTGGGAGAAGTGCAGAGAAGGGCCACTAAAACGATCAATACGCAGCAACACCTGGGATTGTTTGCGTAAGGAACAAAAAGGTGCACAAAATTACGCATGGTATAGAGAAAGAGGACAGGGAAATGTTCTTCTCCTGTCAACATAATACTAGAACTCAGTGTCATTCCATTAAGCCAGCTGATGGAAGATTCAGGAGGCATAAAAGGAATATTGTTCGGCTGTGTGAAGCTGAACTATGGAATTGACTTGCACAAGATGCAGCGATGGCCATGGATTTATTTTTATTTATTTTCCGATTTATATCCTGCCTTTTTCCTACAAAGGGCTCAAGGCAGCTTACATCTCCTCCTCCATCTTATCCCCACAACAACCACCCTGCAAGGTAGGATGGGCTGAGAGTCTGTGACTGGCCCAAAGTCGCCCAGTTGGCTCCATGGCTGAGCGGGGACTAGAACCCAGGTCGTCTGAGTCCCAGTCCCTCGCTCTTCACCACTGCACCACACTGGCTCTCCATGAATTTAGATGGCTTTAAAAGGGAACTGGACAAATGGATGGAGGAAAAAGCTATCTGTGGTTGTAAGTCCTGATGGTCATATGCTACCTCTAGGATAATAGGCAGTACTAGTTGCTGGGGAACATGGGCAGGAGGGTACTCCATCTAAGGGTGGTACAGAACAAAGCCTCAGGTATCAGCATTGTTTAAATAAATATAGCAAATATTTTAACTTTAAACTGTAAAAATAATAAAAGGCAGCATTTTTAAAAAATAGAAGGCAGACAGACTCTGCTAATACCCAGGTAAAGAAAAGCAACTTCACCTGACACCGGAAAGATTGTACAGAAGGTGCCAGGTGGATGCATATGGAGGGCTTTCGAACTACAGCGCCTTATGGCTCAGAAAACCCTTCTTGCTTAGGCTGGAATAGCAGGCTTCTGCTAAGGGAGGAATTTGGGGGAGGGCCTCAGTGGAGTAGGTGAAGACACCAAAGGCAGGAATGGGGGCAGGTGACGGGTTCCCAGTTTCTTAGAGCTTTAAAAAGATAAAGAGCAGCATCTTGAGTATTTTTGTCCACAAACAGCAGCTAGTTTTGCATGTGTATCTGCAACCTGCAAGGCAGGAAGCTGCCTGGAGGATGGTGTGAAAGGCTAGATAAAAACAGCTCTAGGATATGCGAAGTACACAAGGGGTTGTGAAAAAAGAGAACCAGTAAACAAGTCTGAGGGGGGTGGTGTGCGTGTGAATTGAGCTGTAGGGGATGGAAAAGCAGCCTCTAAAAGGGCCAAGTCACCCTTGGCCTTTCCTCCATAAACTCTTCTGCAGCTTGAAAAGCCCAGTTTGACCTGCATACTTACAATGCATTATTACTTTCACCTTGTAGAGGGGACAGAGCTGGAACTGACTCCTGCCAAGCTCAGCACATTTCAGCCTCTTCCGCCGCATGGTTGCCGATTGCAAAATTTCATTCATAGTGTAGAGTTTTTGTTGAAGCCTGTCCTTGGAAGAAGGATGCCTTGGAAGAAAAGTTTTCCTCTGTTTTGCACATGGTGGTTCTGAGCAGAGTTGAAAAAGACCTGAGGAATTTTCAAGGCCAGAGGACTTACTTTGGTTTTGGAAAAGATAGTGCCACTCTTGCAGGGTGGTTTACAAATAAAACACCAAAATGCAAAACAAAAAGCAACAGAGAGGTGCTAACAAACCCAAACAATGTAAACCATAACAAAACACTATCGAGTAAATTACACAGATAACAATTGCTTAGAAAGCAGATAACAGGATCTGCTCTTTGCCTGTGTTAAGAAGGGGCTGGGGGACTCACAGGGTTGTTGTTGTGGGGATAAGATGGAGGAGGAGAGATGCTGTAAGCTGCCTTGAGCCCTTTGTAGGAAAAAGGCAGGATATAAATCGCAATATAAGTAAATAAATAAGGCTCATTTGCCCCCCTTTCCCCTTCCCTTGCTTCAAATGGGGCACCTTTGGACCTAGGACTGGCTTTGTACTGCACTGAGCAGGACCGCATGCAGATCATGTTGCTGCAAGATTGATCCATCGATACAGGTTAAGAGATCCAGGAGGACTTGCCGGATCTGGCAAAGTCGCTATGCCCACAGGATGGCTGACAGGTCTCGGCAGCTGGATCTTCCTCAAGTCTTCTGAATTTGAAGGGCTAGGCAGGAGACAGCCTGGGAACAGATCTCTGGTTGAGGTGCACAGATCACACAGGGTTCCTGATTCCCGGTACTTTAAACCAGGGCTGGGCCACTCATGGGCTTGCAGGTATTTTGGACTGTATCTCTAAGCAGCTTAGAGAATGGGGAGAACTGGGCCTTGCAGGCCAAAACCCCTGGAGTCATAGAATCATAGAGTAGGAAGGGGCCAGGAAGAGCACCAGGTGCACCTTCTGCTCGATGCAGGACTTCAGGCGAAAGCACGCGGGACGGATGGCTGCCCAGCCGCATCCCGAATGTCTCTGGCGTGAGGGAGCCCGTGGCCTCCCTGGGGAACTGGTTCCATTATTGCATTGCTCTAACAGCCAGGAGGTTTTTCCTGATGTTCAGCCAGAGTCTGGCTGTCTGCAACTTGAGCCCATTATTCTGTGTCCTGCGCTCTGCTCCGGGATGACTGGGAGAAGATCCTGGCTCTCCTCAGGTCAAGCCCTTGAAGAGGTAGGAGCTATCCTATCTCCCCTTGGGCTGCACAGGCCCAGCTCTTTCCATCTCCCCTCACAGGGCTTTGCTTCCAGTCCTGGGGTCATCCCTCTAGCCCTCCTCTGAGCCTTTTCCAGCTTGTCTGCATCTTTCTTCAGCCGTAGTCCCCAGAAGTAGACACAGCACTGCAGATGAAGCTCAGCCATTGCTATAGCAATGGCTTCACATGATTCGGACTTCTATTGTGCCGCCACTTCTATTAATGTGGCATAAAATAGCATCTGCCCTTCTTGCAGCCATATCACATTGTTGGCTCCTATTTAGCTTGTGAGCTACAACGATCCCAAGATCCTTCTCACTTGCAGTATTGCTGAGCCAAGGATTCTCCACCTTGTAGCAATCCATTTCGTTTCTTTTCCCAAGGTGTGTAACTGATCCCTATCAAAGTTCACCCTGTTATTTTCATTGCTGGGTCCGGATCAACAAAGCTGTTCCCATCTCTACATCAATTTACATTATATCATGGAACGACAGACTGTTGGGACAATTCATTGCCCCAAGCCCATTTATTGCAGGGGTCACAGCTAAGTAAAGAGGGAACAGGGAATGGATTGTGAGCGCAGCACATATGTTTGCGTAGGAAGGGCACAAACAATCTGCTTCCTTGCTCAGAAAAGGTCCCAGTACTGGGAACAGGCAGAATAGAAATAGTAATGTGTTAATACCGTATTTCCCTGAAAATAAGACCAGGTCTTATATTAATTTTTGCTCCAAAAGATGCAATAGGGCTTATTTTCAGGTGATGTCTTATTTGTTCATGTACAACAATCTACATTTATTCAAATACAGTCATGTCATCTTCTTCTGGAGCATCGTGATAACTCTCCAAACCCCAAATTGTGTTGCAACGGATGTACTAAATGCATCCGTCTGGCTGATGATCTTAACTGGGGCTTATTTTTGGGGTAGGGCTTACATTGCAAGCATCCTGAAAAATCATGCTAGGGCTTATTTTCCGGTTAGGTCTTATTTTCGAGGAAACAGGGTATATACAGCCACAGCAATAAAGTGTCAGTATATAAGCCACACACTATATCACTGCTGTCCCCAGGCAGCGTCCCTCCCCAGTCAGCAGGGCTAGATCCTGAAAGACAGCAGCGCTGAGGATTGAGTTAGGAGCTTCAGAGCTTGCATTTGTATCAGCCTCACATCAGTTGCCATGTGTCGGAAGCTGGCTTAGGTCTAACAGCTAGATCCTTAGTCCATCTAGGCAAGGACTGCACTCTGATGGGCAGTGGCTCTCCAGGGCCTGAAAGAGAGGAGGACTTTGAACGTCCCCTCCAGGGACTGAACCCGAGCCCTTCTGTATGCAAAATGCACGCTGTATCTCAACTTGCCCTGGAACAATGGTGCAGGATGCATGCATACCTTTGAAATCTGGCGGAAGCTCAAAACGGTCTTCACCCTCCACATTCTGGCAGATGACATTCTGGAGCTGGACATCCACAATTTTCATCAGATCTCCTGTGGATAAGCAGCATTCATTGCCCCAGAGTTCATAAACGGATCCTGCAGAAAGTTGAGATTTTTATCAGCATCTGAATAAAAGTGAACTATGGTTGGTTTTCATGGCATGTGAACCCAATCTGGGTGACCCATGATGGCTTGCATTTTCCAAACAAGCCACCCTGAGGAACCATGAGCTGCTCTGGGGGTTGTTTTACTGGAAGAAACTTTCTTCTAAAAATAATGTGTCCGTGTTTACATTTTTGCTTGTTTTTAATTTTGGCTGCAGCTGCACAGCTGCAAAACTTTACATTAGCATAACTGTTGTGTTTGAAAGCCTTGGCTGGGGCAATGCCGAAGTGCTTCTGGTCTGCAAAGTGCAAAGCAAGTGTGCACACATGCACACACACACACAGACCTTCTTCTGCCCTGTTTCCCCAAAAATAAGACCTAACCGGAAAATAAGCCCTAGCATGATATTTCAGGATGCTCGTAATATAAGCCCTACCCCAAAAATAAACCCCAGTTAAGACTGTCAGCCAGACAGATGCATTTAGTACATCTGTTGAAACACAATTTGCGGTTTGGAGAGTTATGACAATGTTCCAGAAGAAAATGATGTGAATGTATTTGAATAAATGTAGATATTTGTACATGAAAAAATAAGACAGCAGCTGAAAATAAGCCCTACTGCGTCTTTTGGAGCAAAAATTAATATAAGACCCAGTCTTATTTTCAGGGAAACACAGTAGGAGTTTTGGCAGCTGTCAAAAAGGGGGTTTTGTCTGGGATTTTTTTTTGACTGGGACATATATATCAGCAGAAGATAACAGATTTCTATAAAGTGATGGGGGCAGAGAACCTCCTGGAGCATAGCTACTATGCGGCAGCAGTAGCTGAAGAAAACACTGACAGAGGATCTTTTACAGACAACGGCAGTGAAGCTCAAGCTTATTCTGGTTAGTACTGAAAGCAGAAGCTGGCAATGCTAAACCACCTTTTGTACATTACAAGGAATGTTCTTCCCTTGCAAACCCTATAATGAAACAATCCAAAATGAAACAGGAGGTAGTGTCATTGAGGATGAGATCCCCGGACTGAAAGACACTCAACCAACCGCTAGGGAAGAGTGTAGGACAAGCAGGAATAGGTAGCTCAAAGCAGAAAGGAAGTCTAGTGACTGAAGGGAAAGTTAAGCAAGAAGCAGAACTTCTGACCATTGAAGGACTTGCTGTGAGTGGGCTAAAGTGGATGGGAATGGGACATTTTCAGTCAAACAGTCACAAGTGCTTTACTCTGGAAAGGACAGACACAGAAGAAATGGAGTGGCTCTAAGATTGAGGCAAAATGGGGGGCTGTAATGCAAAGTCTGACCAAATAATATCAATCCCTTTGTGGGAAATCTGTCAATATAACCATAATTCAAACCTATGCTCCAGCAACAGATGACAAAGAAGAAATCTGAAAATGTTATACATGAGCCCAAGAGGAAATTGATAATGCACCGTAACAAGACATGCTGATAATCCTGAGTGTCTAGAATGCAAAAGTAGGAAAGAAAGCAGAATCCAATGTTGGGGAAGGTTTTGACCTGGGTCCGAAATGAATGACCTATGGAATTCTGTGAAGCTAACTATGTGTTTATCACACACACATACTTCAGGCAGTTGATCAGACAACTGTACACATGGACATCACGAGATGCTCAATTTTAAAATTTAATATCACAAATCAAAGGAAAGCTGAAAAAGATCCTTAACTGAAGTGCAGTGCAAAAACACAATATAAATAACATTACTGAGGAATTTGCGGTCCACATAAAGAACAGATTGGCATTACTTGTCCAAGAAAACTGTGGGTTGAATTCAAAAACACTATTAGGGAAAAATGCAAAAAGACCAAAAAGGGGGGAAATCCTAGATGGATGGCAGAAGCGACACAATTGCAGAGGACTGGCAGGAAGCAAAAACAAAAAAGATGACAGAAACAGGATCAGAATCCTGAATGACACTTTTCAGCAACTATCGCACAGAGACAAAAAGGAATATTACAATTACCAGTGCAAATAAATAGACGTGAACAACAGAGTAAGAAAAACAGGAGGCCTCTTCCGGAAGGCTGAAGAAATCAAGGGGAAATTCAAACCTAGATTAAGAATGCTGAAAGACCAACAAGGGAACATGCAATCTGACTGGAAAGAGAAAGAGGAAGTTGAAATAATATATGGAGGAACAGTAGAGAATATATGAAAGGATAATAGACGTCTTTGAAGAGGAGTCCTGTGAGGAAGAACCTGCAATATTAGAGTGAATATTACTCTGAAAGCACCTGGAAGGAATAAAATACCTGGAGTAGATCGCATAGCACTATTCCAAGTGGCAGAGAGTGAATTGGTTAGAATGAAATCCTGACAAGACTACACCAACAGCTATGGAAAACAAAACAATGGCCAATGGCCTGGAAAGGTTCGCTTTCCCTTCATTTCACTCCCCAAGAAAAGAGATGTAAGGAGTGCAGCAGGTAGAGAACTAATTTCCCATGCAATCAAGATAATGCTCAAGGTGCTGCAATGAGTAATTTGACCCTAAAAGGAGCAAGAATTGTCTGAGATTCAAGCCTGATTCTGGAAAGGAAGAAGCACTTGAGACTGTAGCACAAACATGCTATTTGACTAGTGCACCAAAGAACTGACGATTAGTGGCAAGACTGCAGCAAAGATTTTGCCTGTGTGGATCACAAGAAGCTATGGATGGTCCTGAAGGAAAAGATGATGCAACAGCTCTTGATTGTCCTGATGGGAACCTGTATGATGGATAAGAAGACAAAATGCAAAGAAAGAGACAGGTTTCTCATAGGTGAAAGCATCAGACAAGGATCCGTTTCATCTCCCTCTCTCTTCAATTTGTATGCAGACTATAACATAAGGAAAGTTGGATTAGGATCAGGCAAAAGAGTGACAACTGGTGGAAGATGCAGCAGGAATTTAAAATTTGCTGCTGATACTGGCAGAAAGCAGCAATGATTTGGAATGACTCCTGATGAAAGTGAAAGAAGGAAGTGCAAAAGCACATTGCAAAAACAGAAACCATGACAACAGAAGAATTACACAATTTGATGGTCAGCATTGAAGAAACTGAAATTTTGAAAGACTTTACACACTCTGGCTTGAAGGGAAACTGCAGCTAAGAAATTGGAAGAGGCTTGGAAGGGCAGCAATGAAGGAACTAAAGAGGATGATCAAATGTCAGGAGACCAAGGCAACCATGATTCACACTATTGTATTTCTATTCACTCTGTATGGTGTGTGAAAGCTGGACCGTGAAGAAAACTAACAGAAAAAATGATGTCTTTGAAACATGGTGCTGAGAGAGAGCTTTGCAAATGAATAAGTGGGTTCTAGACCAAATCATGCTGGAACTTTCCATTTTTGCTGGCAGCAAAAATGATGAAGCTGAAGCAGTTGTACCTTCTCACATCATGAGAAGTGAAGACTCACTGAGACTCACATTCATGCTAAGGAATCTTGAAGGCAGAAAAAGGGGAGGACCAGCTCTGAGATGGGTTGGCTCCATCAAAGAAGCTCCCGAGTTCACAAGAGCTGAGAACAGCTGTCGTTTTGGAGGGAGAGTTTCACAGAGTTGCCACTTGATGTGCCCTCAAGTCAGAGACAGCTTGAGGGCACATCACAGCAACAGCTGAATGCATAAGTCTACACAATAAAGCGTCTAAATAATAAATAGTATAATAATAAGAGCCAAAGGAGTATTTATGCTATTACGTTTTATATCTGTGATGTTGAATCAACTGTACTTCATTGATACTGCCATTGTTTCTTTTTGAATTCTCTTAGCAGTGTCTTCCATCTTCTCACAGCACTATGACAAGATCAACACACACTTTATGACACAGGAAAGTTCCTGTGCCTCACGGACAACTTGGAGACCTCTTACTGTTACATGTGATGGCATCAAATACTACCTTTGGAGTAGCTTATTCATGAAACGTAATGGGGAACTTCTACTCTTTTTCTAGTTTCGCACTGTACTCTGCCAAATCTAATATCAATGTTTCCAAACAGTGCCGTGACATCCCCATGAGGAACACTGCAAGGTTGTAGAAAGAAGCTGGTATGTTTGTTGTTGTTAGTCATGAAGTCGTGTCCGACCCATCGCAACCCCATGGACAACATCCCTCCAGGCCTTCCTGTCCTCCACCATCCCCTGGAGTCCACCCAAGCTCACACCGACTGCTTCAGTGGCTCCATCCAGCCACCTCATTCTCTGCCGTCCCCTCCTTCTTTTGCCGTCAATTGTTCCCAGCATTAGGCTCTTCTCCAGGGAGGCTTTCCTTCGCATTAGGTTGCTGCTGCTTAAAACGGGTAGTCTTAAGACAGGGCTTTTGTGGATTCTGCGGCAGCTGCGGCCTTCAGCCTTCCCAGTGCCACGCCAATGTAAAGACAATGCCCTGAAGGGTTCAAGGACAGGGCTCACATTACACCGTGGTTGTTGTGTCAGATGAACCAGGGCCAATTCCCACCCAGTGGCTTGTTCTGCAGGTTTCTTCATCCATGACAGGGCAGCATTCTGTCCAAAGCCAGGAGATGGTGCCCATTGTGGGTGAAGGGAAGGGACATCCTTGCCTGGCAAGGGTGGCCAGAGCTCTTTGTTCTTCCTGCCAAGCTTGCCCAGACCACTGCCAGCCCAGGTGTCCTGCAAGTGCCCAAGCAGCCCTTGGGGCCACTGTCTCAGGACATGATCACAAGCCCCTTTCGCTCTTCAGGGCTTCCCACCCCACAATCTTTCTTCTCTCCCTTTTGACAGCAGCGTTTTTGATCTCCGTTTTCCCAGAATGTGGCGGCTTCTTTCAAGGGCACAGGGACACCCTGGAGGGGCAGTTTGTGGTCGGCGATGTTTATTATTTAATTACACCCGCGACAAGTGCAAATATTTTTGCACCCTTTAAAAATGACTTGTAGTCACACTTGCACAACTTGGGCCTCCACAGTGTCGTGGGTGTGAAAATGGGCAACCTTGACCAGGCAATGCCCTGGGTGCCTGGGTGGGCACCTGCCGTCGTGCGCAGGAGGAGGTTCACCTGGTGAGGATCCAAACAGGGCCACTGTTGCTTTAACTTTGCTTCCTCTCGACCGCTGTGGAGCAAGTGACATCTCCTTTGCAGCAAGAGCCCCATATTTTCCTTTTCGCGCATGTGTGCTGATCATCCTCAGGGTCCCTTAGACTGCCCAGGAAAAAGCAAAAGTACATTCTATGCTACCTTGGGGTGGGTGGGGGGTATTTTGGACATTCTCTCTCAGGTCCTCATTCTACTCTTTCTTCTCTCTCTGTATCCAACCAAACATCCTCTTATCTCAGCTGCTTCTCTATTTATATTGTATTCAACGTCTGAATCAGATATCCCTGAACATTGATTCATACACAGATGTTATAGCCACCAGAAAGATGAAAAGGAGAAGGACTTGCTCTCTCTCTTCCCCATGCACGCACACACGCACGCACGCACACTCAGAGGATGCATGCAATTCAAGCTTTTTCAAACTGCATTTTCATTCTTTACATAGGCTTTACATCGGACCGTTTATTGGTGCTGTTCTCTATTTTGGGTATCACTCAGCGGTACCCTGTTGCTTCCTGTTAACAGCTGGGAAGAGAAAAAAAAGAAAACACCTACTAACATAGGAACCACACAGTCTTGAGCTCTGGTCCTGGTTGTCCTGTTACCCAAAGCTCTACTAGCTAACACCAACACCGGCACTTCTCATTTTACATCCTCTCAAGGTTTTCCCAGACACAAACTAGAGAGTATTTTTATGCGGAAAAGATAGTGAAAGGACTCTTTTCCTCAGATATGAAAGAAAGACAAGTGCCCCTGATGAAGGAAAATGATCATTTCCAAAATGCACTGGCCAAATAAATATTCTTTCAAGGCACCTGATAATTTGTTTCCTCTTTATTTCATGATGCACAAGTGAATTTCCCCTCTGAGTCTCACTTGAATAAACCCTGTAGCACACCGATGGCTTCTGATTTGTTGTGTGCTTGGTAGATAGATAGATAAACTTTATTGCGGCCAAAGACCAGCTCCATTCAATAAATACATAGATTTTAAAAAGTAAATACATAAAACAGTCAACACACTTTTTAAAATCTATGTATTTATTGAATGGAACTGGTCTTTGATCGCAATAAAGTTTATCTGTCTATCTGTGTGCTTGGTAAATGTTCTCTTACCCCGAGCCTAAACAGAATCTACGCTGGAATACCACCCACCCTTGTTCCCTTAGGCCCAAAGTTTGGTAGGGTCAGAGGGAAAAATATTGGCTACAAATATTGCTTCCCTCAAACCCCATGGATTCCCCTGCCCACAAATACTTGTGCTGCATTTAATTAAGGTGAAGCCTGAGCGCTCAGGAGGAAAGACCGAGATGGCTGCCACCTCCCCTACCTTGGCTTCTGCATTCTGAGGAATCCCCCTCACAGTTTCTCACGGTGCGGCCAGTCCCTGACTGACTGAATCCACACAACTCTTTCACCGTGACACATGCCGTTCAGTCTCCCAAGACTGTGGCCATTGAAGCCTGTGTTGTAAGTTGCAGCTCATCAGCTTTGCCTCGACTGCTCTCAGCTGCCATTGCTCTGGGTTGCAAGTCTCTGCCCCTACATCGATTAACAGTCTGTTAACTCCTCTACATCAGGTACTGCCCTTCTCCTTAGAAGCAGAAATCTGATTATGGCAAAAGAAAAGCAAGCGATGGGGCTCACCTTGGAAGTAGACGCCAGAGCAGATCTTCACCACTCTTGGGAGGCTATTATGATCCAGGTCACAGATATAATTGTGGAATGAAACAGAATCCATGACTCTTGCCACAGATGAGACCAGGGCAGAATGTGGAAGCCTCTGTTGCGATACAGGCCAACGGTGCAACTTATATAGCATTGGAGTGGTGACACTCAGTTTCACTTCCTCTTTTAAGTGATTGCCTAGGTTGCAGTTTCTTTGCAGGAGGTGGTTTCAATGAAGCATCGGACCATATTTCATGTCCGAGAGATTCTGCACTGCAGCCACCTTGTCACTGGATGTGTCACCAGGGCTGGTTTTGTAAGTGGCCAACTTGTCTTTGGAGAAAAAGGGTGCAAATGTGGCGGTCAGGATCAAGTGTGGCTGAGCCATTTCCCCAGACATGCATAAAAGGCAACCAGATGAAATGACAGACCGGGGCATCCACACATCTGCCTTTTCAAGCAGCTGTTCAGGAAGCACTTCCATATAAGGGTCTTTGTAGGCTTAGGGAAAGACAATGTCCCAGGAGAAAACTCTGGTTTCACATGCAGAAGTGCCCAGTTTGAATCCTGAGCATCTTCACAGAATCAACCAGGGAGGGCATGATGGGGAAGGCCTCAACCAGAGATCCCTGGGTTGCGGCTGCCTGTCAGAGGAGACCGGGGCTGCAGGAACTTGAGCCTCTCCAGGTGTGCTTGGACGTTCATCAACCTCCAGCCAGCATGACCTATGGTCAGGGATGATGCGACCCAAAGACATCTGGAGGGGTATAGGTTCTGCACACCTGGAGTAGACAATATTGAGCAAGGTAGATAAATGATCTTCTATGTACATGCTCTCACTCTCATGTTAAAGCACATCAGCTGAGCAACAGGCTGTGTCTCAGAAGATCAAGTTGGATACTAGTTGGATACTAGATCTAGCTGGAGACTTTATTATTTCTGTAGCATGTTTAGTTACAAGGGGCTCTACACTTCTTCATTAGTAGTAGATGCAGTTTCACTTGGCAAATTTTTTAAAAAATTAAGAAGAAATATTGATAAGCAAGTTTAGAACAGTAAACATGTAACCAGGAAGAGAGCATTTAATTTCACTGATTACATTTCTTTATCCCTGCAGCCCAAACCGTGAGCCCCCTTTGGAAGAGGCCCTGCAAGGCATCTCAACATTAATAAATTTGAACAATCACTTTCAGAATAAAACATACTCAAAAGCATTCACACCAGGCCTGTTTTTGTTATTGTTATCGAAATATTGCAGCAACGACCTCTTGCATTCCACTCTGGACACACAAATGTTTGACATTCCAGTTTCAGTTCTCCAGATCATGGGATTACAGCAGGCCAAATAAGTACTAACAACTTTCATTAGTAGAGATGTTATTAGAATTCACTAACTAGATGTGACCTTGCATAGACCTTGCTCTTGTTTGTTGTTGGTGGCCTGGCCCCATTGTGGATGGGAGAGGGTTTTGTAGGGCATGGAACTGGTACAAACCATCATTCTAAGTCTGCAGGAAAGGAGGAATTCAAGCCTTTGCCACTTTTCTCCACTTCCGGGTAGATGTTGCTACATCTAGGAGATCTTTCCCACTTCATTTTGAGTTGGGCTTGATTTTTAAAATATCTGTCCTGCCAAGTGAAAGGAAAACATGACAAGATGGAAGCTTCTGTAGTTTGGGCACATCACAAGACAGCAAGACTCACTGAAGAAGTCAAAAATGCTAGAAAAACTGAAGGTAGAAGATGAAGAGCAACCATGAGATGATTCAATTCCATAAGGGAAGCCATGAGCTTGAATTCTCAAGAGCTGAATAGGGCGGATGGCATTTTGGAGGGTTTATTCAAGAGGTCACCATAAGCCAGAAGTGATTTGCCAGCATGTGACAACAACAACATCCTGCCAAAGGTAGGTTGTGTGGGTAAGGGGGAAGACCAACTCCTTGGCAGCAGGTCAAGAGTGCAACTCCAGCAACCAAGGAGCAAAATATAAAAGGATGAAGCAGTGATGAAATGAGCAGCATTAATTGGTGCTGTTTTGTGGAGGGTGTGTTTTGTTTTAAGGCACCACTGCCATGTTAATGGTCCAAACACCCTCTGTTGCTTTGCATGGTGCCAGAGTTATATTTGGCTTTACTTTGAACACAAAATGTCATACTCTGTATAGTACACATATAGCCATGTTAATTAAGCTTGGAAACCCAGAGACCATCATATTCCCCAAAAAAGAATCCTCACTTTTGGGTCCTCTCACATAAACAGAGGCTTCAAGCATACTTGTGAAACATCACATGGATTGGAGCCAGGCAGTGGTGTGGATGATGGAAGTGAACATGTAAGTAAAAAGAGCTGCTTGCTCTCCACAGCCCAGAAGTGCAAAGAGCATCCATTCCCAGTCCCTTGCAAATATTCTCCTGGGTCAATCACATGTGGGTAAAGCAATGCACTTAACACGAAGCTGTCTCTGTCGTGATTCAAAAGGCTGTTACACAAAAAAGCATCTTCCCCAAGATGTTCCCACTCAGATAAGACTGAGAAGGGATGCCTCTTGACAAGAGCTTAATTTGCTTGGAATTGGTTACAGGGCAACTCAAGAGGTCATTCTTGGTACAAGCATCCTGACTCTAGAACCCTTTCCTGCTCACGTAGTCTTAGATATTTTCAGCACCAGCTCACCTGGTGAACACCTATCTGTTCACCCTGGCTTTTGATTGCAATTTTTTGAGGTGGGCACATTATTGCATTGAGTGTATATCTTACCTTTCTTCCTCATTCAAAGGACCCAAGGTGGCTTATAAGATTCTCCTCTCCATTTTACCCTCAGAACAACCTTGCAAAGTAGGTTAGACTGAGAGTCTGTGAATGGCTCATTGAGCTTCATTGCTGAATAGGGAATAGAACCTGGATCTCCGAAGTTGAACTTTCTTACTGCTAGGCCATAATCATGTTACGTTGCAGAGTTTGTGAGTTGTATTGATTTATGTTTTATAGGTTTTCCTACTTAAGGCTTTTATATTAAAAAGTGGGCAATACATTTCACAAATACTGAAATCCGTAATATCAGTTGTGCAAGCATGGCATTATGCTAGCCTTACTAACCATAATCAATTGTAACAAACCCAAGCTTCAAAGATCTGTATGGGCTTCCAGTCTGTTTCTAGGTGTAATTCAGATGCTACCTCCAAGTCTTACACAGACTGCCCATTTACTTAAGATTCTCATTAGAGGCTTTGATCAGGTCATGCCACCTCCTGAGGTTAGATGGTTAGTACCTGTAAGAAAGAGCTTCATTTGAACTTGGCAATGTCTCTGGTATACCCTCTTTGAAAGACTCATGGTGCCTATACTGCTGATACTTTTGTTTTGGTCTTCATCAGACTCCGCTCAATGCTTTTAAGTTACTTGATGTTGTGCTTTTATGAATGTGGGAAGAGCTATGTCGGATCAGCTCAAAGACCTGTCTAGTCTAGTAGGAAGCCCACAAGCAGTTCATGAATGCACAGGAGGAATATCATGCACATGGCTCATGTTTTTCAGCATGCAGTGAGACATACACTGGTTATGGTACAGGACATAATATACAACCATCACAAAGAGTAGCCACTGAAAGTCTTGTCCTCTATGAATGTATCCAATTGCCCACTAAAGGCAGCACCGTATCTTGTGATAGTGAATTGCATCATTTTAACTATACGCTGACCGAAGCAATACTTCTCGTTTTCAGTTCTGAATCTCCTGCTCCTCTTAAAAAAAATAATTGTAAGGGGTTTTTTTTGTAGTGTTATCATTACTGGGAAAGAACAGAATGATTCAGATTAAATAAAATGGGGTGCAACCTGGGAACACACATTAAACTCACCATTTGGCAAAACAGTCATTTAATTTACAGTGTAGTAAAGGTTACAGGTAAAAAGCTCAACAGAGTGTGAAAAGGCCTATTACACAAATGTACAAACATCTGTACAGAGCCCCACGCCTCCCATCCCTCCTCCTCACCTGTGCTCAATCTCAGGACTGGCATCAAAGTTCTGAAATTAAAAGCCGGCACTATCTTGGGGAGGTGCGGGGCTGATACCAGCAAGCAGTAAAATCCCAAGGGAGGTACCTTGCAAAACGGTCACTTTAAAAAATTCTTCTTTTAACATCCAGCAAGGAAAATGCTTAACTGCTTGAAACTGGTCGTATCCTGCAGAGCTGCCCTTAGAGCAAGGGATTGCTCTATTTGGGGATGAGTTAACTGAAAAGATTCCTAAGAGGAAAGGTTGCAAATGAAGTAACAGAAGATTTGGAGATGGAATACTAAAGCTCATGAACCATTAGCGGTCACAACTGAGAATACGATGTTGTATGACCACACTAAGTAAAGAGACAGTTCCATCTTCACAAAAGGGCCCTATGTACACCTCAGGATGAAAAAGACAAAAGCAGATTTCATGGAAGTGACTTCCAGACATTCACCCACTCCAGATTCCCAACAATATTGAGGGAAGCAGCAGCTGCACTAAATTGGTCAACCCAAATTTGTCTGGCCTAGTGTTGCAAGGAGCAAATTTAACTTTTTCTGAAAATTTCATTTCTAAACTTTCAGAAATAAAAACTTTCTGAAAAATTAAAATTTAACCTTTTCATAATGTTTCTGAAAGCGGCACAATCAAGCTGGGTTACGTATTAAGTCCCACTGATTCCAGTTGGAGGAGGGTCACTACATACACGCATAGTTAACTCTCCCAATGAAATCCACAGGACAAATGCAGTTAAACAGCATTTTTGCCATGCCTTCCTGCAAAGGGCGGTGAACGGTTCCATCTAGCTAGACAGAGCTAAAAGACTGATCAAGCACTCTGATTAAAGGTCTCCACAGTTAAGAGCTTGGATACCGAACAAAGATGACAATTCAGGACGCCAGGAAAATGCAGTTCCAATTTCATATTTACTTCACTGTGTCCAGTATACACATCTAAACCAGCTGCAAAGTCTTTTGGTTCCAAACATTTGGAACTGAAGTAAATACCCACCTTAAGTCAAATTTTATCAACCAAAACAGTAAGTTAGCAGGCCAGATTGTAGCACGGTGAAGTTGAAATTAGGAAACTACCTGAATTTGGGCAT